TTCCCTCCCCTACCTGGCGGCGCTTCGCGTCGGAGCTGCGCGCTTGGGGAACCCTTTGCGCACAAGACCCGGCCGCCAGCGCGCACGACGGGATCGCCCTCTGCCGGCCGCCGGGCAAACTTCCCAACCCGGAATAATAATAATAATAATAATAATAATAATAATAATAATAATAATAATAAAAATAAATAATTTATACCCCGTCCATCTGGCTGGGTCCCCCCAGCCACTCTGGGCGGCTTCCAACAAAACACTAAAATACAATAACCTATTAAACATTAAAAACTTCCCTAAACAGGGCTGCCTTCAGATGTCTTCTAAAAATTTGGTAGTTATTTTTCTTTTTGACATCTGGTGGGAGGGCGTTCCACAGGGCAGGTGCCACTACCGAGAAGGCCCTCTGCCTGGTTCCCTGTAACTTGGCTTCTCGCAGCGAGGGAACCACCAGAAGGCCCTCGGCGCTGGACCTCAGTGTCCAGGCAGAATGGACATGATCACAAACATACACCCCCAATACACAAAAACCTGTGGGCAGGGGGTACGACTTTTATTAATGTTTTAGTTTTTTATTTCCCGCTCCTCCCAGCATTCCCAATGCAGGCACCTTTGCTGCTGATGGGACTGGCAACTTCGCCTGCTCTGAATTTGTTTTTTTTGCAAGTGTGTTTTGGCTGGATTGAACTGGGCTGCATCTGATAAAACAACGCTGTGATGTGATGTATTGTCACTCACTGTAATGATTAATTATATCAGACCCTCCCAGTGCCCCTATTTTTCAGGATCAAGTTCCTGTTTAGAGAAGCCATTCAGGTTTCTGGATTTGATCCCGGAATGTCCCACTTCTGCTTAGCATGGCCAAACTTGGCCCTCCAGCTGTTTTGGGACTACAGTTCCCATCATCCCTGACCACTGGTCCTGTTAGCTAGGGATGGTGGGAGTTGTAGTCCTAAAACAGCTGGCGAGCCAAGTTTGGCCATGCCTGTGGGGTGTCCCTATTTTCACTGGAGAAATGTTGGAGGGTTATGGAGTTATCCAACCCCCAAGCAGCCTGAAGGCAATCCCGTATAGGGAAGGGTTTTTTTAAAAAAAGTTCAAATATATGTTGGAAGCTGCCCAGAGTGGCTGGGGCAAACCAGTTAGATGTGTAGGGTATAAATAGTAAAATTATCATTATGGAATAGGACGCTCCTCTTTTCATCGGAGAAATGTTGGAGGGTATGTTTTCATATTGAGACTTTTACCAAAGTTTTTCATTATTCGGTATTTTTATTTAAATAAATTTAAATAAATTTTAAGCCACTTTACAGGCCCATTTTTTCCTATGCTAGAATATTAACCACAGTTTACAAATTGCAAACTAGAAAATGTCAAAAAGCCAACAACTGACCCTTTAAAACATTGTTCAGCCCAGCTTTGGGACCAGGGGGAGAGAAACAAACTACAAAATGCAAAAGCCAGCATTTAAAAACCAACAGCAACAATGCAGTAACGTTCTATTTTTGTTTTTCTAGATCTGTGGGTGCTAAAGGAGGGGAATCTTTTTTCCAGCAAACCCGGCTGCTGCGGTATTAGAGTCCATGCTATTAAACCTGCATTTTGCTGAGGCTTGGGAGGAAATCTGTTTGAGGGTTTGTAGGAAGTTGGGATCAAATTTCATGTTGGTTAATACTGCAGTTAAGCGAAGGGTGTCCTGAAAACCAGGTCTGCACATTTGGCAAAATCCTGAAGTGATGGTAAAGTGAACATTTCAGACAGGCTACAGGGGAGAGATGCTTTTTTAAAATGCTCCCCATATAAAAAACAGATATAATAAAAAAGCACACTCAATGAGCATAGAGGAAGTGGGAATTCTAGCACAGTCTGCGCCCTGCCGTACTAGTTTTTTGCTTGTCAGAAGATTTGTTTAACTTACTTATGCGGCCTTTTAAAGTATCTTTTCAAAATGGGAGCCTTACAAATTTGTATTCCTTCTCCCAACTTCACTCTGAAGTGGTACCATTCATACTACTCAGATTTAATAAACAGTATGTGTTTGTAGCAGGGTGTGTGTGTGTTATTGGTTTGTTTTCAGTTTTATTGTGTATTTTGTGTTCTCATTTTGTATTTTTATGTTGTGAACCGCCCTGTGATCCTCGGATGAAGCACAGTATTCCAAATTAATTAATTAGTGTTAGAATTTAATTAGAACTGGTATGTTAGAACTGGGAGACAGCCAGACCCTAAGGTGTATGAGGGTATTAGAATATAGTAAGAATTGTGGTGGACTCAGTGATAAGTCCCTGTTATTAGCTAATGTGAAGACTAATTTAGTCAGACAGGCTTTCTTAGTTGCCGCTCAAAACCAGGCAGGAATGTGATCTAGATGTAGAATTATAGTATCTGAAATATACTCGGAGTCGAGCGTGGATTTCATGCTCCTTATTCAGCTCATAGTAGTGAGGAATGAAAGTTCCCCCAAAATATCTGCTTTATATACATTATTTACACAATGGGCCGCACGTGATTGGCTAATTCCTGGATTCTCCTGTAGGCCAATCAGGTTGTGGATTCACTTCCACCTGGAGCTGGATTGGGTGGCTCCTGCGGACCAATCATACTGCTGCATTGTTCTAGGACCAATCAGACTGCTGCATTCTGAATCCTATTGTTCTAGGACCAATCAGACTGCTGCATTCTGAATCCTATTGTTCTAGGACCAATCAGACTGCTGCATTTTGGATCCTATTGTTCTAGGACCAATCAGACTGCTGCATTTGGATCCTATTCAGCTCAGTACATAACAACATTGTAGAATTGTAGAGTTGGAAGCAACCTCGAGTGTCATCTAGTCGAACCCCCTGCAATGCAGGAACATGCCAAAGATATGAGAGGTTGCTTTCGTTCCCCAATGAGGAGTATACCGTATTTTTCGCTCTTTAAGACGCACCAGACCACAAGACGCACCTAGTTTTTGGAGGAGGAAAACAAGAAAAAATATATTCTGAATCTCAGAAGCCAGAACAGCAAGAGGGATCGCTGCGCAGTGAAAGCAGCAATCCTTCTTGCTGTTCTGGCTTCTAGGCTAGCTGCGCAGCCTGCATTCGCTCCATAAGACGCACACACATTTCCCCTTACTTTTTAGGAGGGAAAAAGTGACTCTTATAGAGCAAAAAATACGGTAATTTGCAGCTTCCTTAGAAAAGACTTTCTCAGAAAAGGCTGGTGTGTGATGTAACCTGCACACCAGTGTGGCTTCAGCGGTTGATGATGCAAATGAATAAATCTCTAAGAACAAAGGTTCAGTCCATGGTCTACGGCTGCAGATGTAAAGATAGGGGAATGCAGATCATGGCACAAAAGTGAATCATAGAATCATCAAGTTGGAAAGGGCCCCAAGGGTCATAAAGTACAGCCCCCTGCAAAGCAGGAATCTCAACACACGGTCTCCCATCCAAGCTGAAACCATATTAGACCCTGCTTAGCTTTAAGCAGTTTTATTGCTGCAACAGTAAGAGGGCCATCTAAGTGAATAAACATCCCCACAGCATCTGTCAGTCAATTTTATACTTTAGTTATAACTGCCTTTTGATGTACATGAGGCATAGGCAAACTCAGCCCTCCAGATGTTTTGGGACTACAGCTCCCATCATCCCTGACCACTGGGTCCTGTTAGCTAGGGATGATGGGAGTTGTAGTCCCAAAACATCTGGAGGGTTGAGTTTGCCTATGCCTGATGTACGCCATGCTAATGACCAGTTGGTGACATTACAATAGAAAGCATTTTTTAAAATGTACATATGAGAAGTAATTCATTTTTTTCACTCTGTCCCAGAATGACTGCCATTTTGACCAGGTGACCCAGCATGGCAAATAATGCTGCCTGTCCACTTCTTCTGGAAAACATAGTGCAAATGCTGCTTAAGAATTAAACTGCAAACAATTCCATTTTTCTCTTGCCCTGCACAGCTGACATCTATTTTAAAAACCTGCCGAGGTTTAAAATAGGTAACTGGTTTTGCATACATGGGAAATGTTTACTGAATGTAAATTCGTACTACCCATTTTCCTTGATTAAATCAATATATTCCCACCCACTACACGGCTCTGCCTTCCACAAAAAAAAAAAAGTTAACTACACTTGGAATTGGGGTGAGAAAATTAAGCCTATATTTAATGCTGAAGGCCAGACAGCAGAAAAGGTTTCCCCAAAGCACAGTGCAGTTATTTGCATGAAATATAGATTACAGCAAATACACTGTTTTAAAGGGAATTTCTAAAACTTTCAGTTAAGAGATTTTAAAATATTATAAATTTCTTGGAATGGTTGACATGCAGTTGTTTGTCTTCTGTATTATCCAGAGAAATATTCTGATGAATTGTGACCCCTGGCATTTTGGTTCAATCCGGGGCAAATCCTTTATCCTTATCCCAAGGTCTGATCCCATGCTTCAATGGCAGACAGTGTGATGTAGGGGTTAGCGCAGGCACAGGCAAAATCGGCCCTCCAGATGTTTTGGGACTACTGCTCCCATCACTCCCAGGACCAGTGGTCAGGGATGATGGGAACTGTAGTCTCAAAACTACTGGAGGGCCGAGTCTGCCTATGCCTGGGTTAGTGCATTGTACCAGGAAGGTCTGTATTCAAGTGTTCACTGATCCTATGAAGCTCATTGATTGGGCTTGGCCTCAGTCACCTTTCAACCTAATCTACTTCACAGGGTTGTTGTGATGATGACATGGGGAAACTTTGTGCATGCAGTTCTGAGCTCCCTAAAGGAAAGGGCAGAATTCAAGAACGATAGTTAAATAAATAACTGTTCTTTTAGAGAAACCTGAAGTCAATGACTCTTAACTGAAGTATACTGAATGAACCATAGCTTCAGAATAAATAAGAATAATGTTTTGTGTGCAAAAGGTTAAATCCCTAGAAATCTCAGGTTAGACTATGTACTGGGCAAAGTGTAAAGAAGTTATGCATGACATGAACACTTCTTTTTTTAAAGAAAATATCCACTGTTTTTACTGTTATTTATTAGTTGTCTTCTGTACAATCGTCTCAAGGCGATGTGCAATACAAACAGCAAAAAAAGTTAAAGACACACGGGTGGAATCTACACTCATATAAAGAACGCTTTGAGAATGCTTTAAAAAAGTTTTGAAACATATATTAAATTTGCCATCTAGTGTCACATTTGCATATTGCACTAAACGACACACTTAAATCATTTTATTTGCAGCTGTATGGCTGAGTCCACAGAAATACACAGCAGATACATTTAAAACAAAAGCCTATTCATGACAAAAACCTATTTGTCCAGCTCGGGAAGAACAAAGAGATTTTCAGTTGTTTCTGGAAAGTGCAGAAAGAAAGGGCACATGCTGTATCTCAGCAGCAATACTATGTTACAGAACAGGGGCCACCATATTCAAAGCCCCGCTCTGAGTTACTGTAGCTTCTGAGGACTTTGGAACTTGCAGGTAGGTATCAGATTCGCTATGTGCATTTTACATGTTAGAAATACATATAAATATGCGTTGCAGGGCTAGCCAAATCATAGCTCCCGGGTCATTCAGCGATATAAGCAATTAACCCCGCAGTTTGCAGTGAGCAGGAACTGACTAATTAAGGGATAATTCATCCAAATTCGCTCTGTGTTTGTGTGCGAGAGAGGGGGAAGTGGAGGGAGAGAGAGCATGAGAGCAATCAGTGTGTGTTTCAGGACAAATCTTGCGACAGGCTGATATTCCACAACTGAAGATGCAGCAAAGCAGAAAGCTGCATCTGTTGAATTTCTGGCTGCTGTGCAGCCAGGTGTTCTGAATTGGGGTGGGGAGGCCTGGCTCTCATAATGTTCTGCATGGCACATACAAAACTTACAAGGACAGCGACTGCATCCTAACTAGTTTCCTTCTGGCTTTACCGCTGACCCGCTGTAAGATTTTGCACGGGCTGCTAGATCTTTCCAAACTCCACCCAGGAGAACTATCATATTTATCTGATTTTTTCCTGGGCCTGCCAACCCTAAGATCCATAAGCCAGTGGCGGCAGGGTGGGGGGTATAAATAAATAAAATGAATAAAACAGTACATATGTGCATAAATGCTGACCTTTACTTGTCCACATCTAGAGTCTCCAGCTTGACTGCTAACAAAAGCCACTGTCTGGCATGTTCCAGGAATTCCCAGGCAGCCTGTTCTGCTGCCAAGGGAAGACAACAGCCTGTAATATTTATTTATGCATGTTTTATCATGACTAATATCCTCCCCTTTATATAGAAACTGTAGTCAAGGCAGCACCTTTTTTTATTCTTAACCCATTTGACAAAACAAACAGCAGATTATTTAAATAGGAGTAGTTAAAAGCACATAACTAAAGAGGCAGCATTTAGCTAAAAGTGTGCTGTGTGTATAAAATAAATTGAGGAAGGGCTATAGCTCTGTAATAGAGTCTAGGTCTTAAATGGAGAAGGACCATAGGTGAGTTCCCAAAATCTCAATTCAAAGGGGTCCTACATTGCAGGTAATGGGACAGACCTCTGCCTGAGACAAGAACATGCTACCTGTTATGTTACCTTGATAAGGAACGAAACGGGAAAATGCATTTTCTCCTAACTATAAAGGCTAGATTTTTTGCTTATTAAACTGTAAATCATCTCAGTCCTGTTTGCAGGACTCCTGTGTATTGTGAAGCTGTAAAGGGATCTTGCACATACACAGAGTCGTTAAAATAGGAAATGCTTGCCAATACACTGCACTGTTGGGAAATTGATTAATCATTGCTGCCTACGGTTTTGAAGCATAAGTAACCCCTGACTCAAAACAAGCTAATCATGGATGGAACTCGCTCAGCTTTGTGCAGGAACAGGTAAGATGAACGAGGGAGAATCAACAGGATTCAGGAGGTGGGAATCTTCCAGTGTTGGGGTGAAAATGCAGCACAAAATGAGTCACTTTGCTGCTACAAATGTCAGAAGCTTTTCAGAAGTACCTGGAAAGTCAGGATCAATGTGTTCAAGAGCTCGCTCAGTAATACTGTGACAACAAGCTGACTTGTAAAACAGATTTCTGATTGAATACACTGAACCCCTCGTGGTGTGCGATTCAACACTTGTCCTATAGTTGTGATCCAAAGACAAAACAAGTGATGGGGCCGAGAGGCAGCCATGTTTATTGTCCATGTTTAAAGTGGAAGGGGCAGGAGTAATATTGTCAACAAAACGAGCGTGCAGCTGGTAGAAATCAAGTCTACCTTGTCACCCACAAGACTCAGTATAAGGCAGCTTTCTATGTTCCCCAATCTGTGGGGAGAACACATTTGCATAGCCGTGTTTAATTGCCTACGGTTTCTTTCTCAGAGGTTGCTAGAGATTTGGGGTAACTGGCCGGGCAGCTGTGTCCAGATTAACATTGCCACTTTTGTTTTGATTGCTCCTGCTTCTGCAAACTTTAATGGCAGCTGGACACACAGAAACTAAATATGCCAAGTTTTGTCCAGAACATCTCTTAAAGCCTCGTTTGCTTAGTTTCCGTAGATCTAACTGTAAGTACAGCAGGTCTCGGCTCTGCAAAGGAACGTGCTGGCAATATGTACACAGGACTCCAGGTTGCCTGATCACAGTGAGACAGAGGGAGTACATCAGTTCTTATAGCATACAGTGGTGGGAACGGGGAATGTCAACTGAATAAATGCTGAGTTATGGACAACCTTTTCTTTTCTTTTTTTAAAAAAGAGGGAATGAAAATGCTTTTTTATTACAAATAACTTGGAAAAGCACAGCATATAGGCATTCATTTTGAATTGTACAACTAAAAGTGTTTTTAAAGAAAATGTTTTGAAGTCAGTCAATTTCACCATGCAACGTTCTTTATTTAAAACGTAAAACTTTCGACAGCATTTTATTTTTAAAAGGAGGTTTTGCTTGACCAAGAAAAGAAGCTAGGAAACATGGTATTCTAGAGTTTTCTTCCCCTCAGTCAGTGTACACATGTAGAAGATGCTTTAGCTGCACTTGGGGGTTTAAAATGCAGTGATTTATAAATATAGATCTATATAAAGGAAATTGGTTGGAGTCTAAGATTAAGAACTGCTGGCAAGGTACCTCCGCAAAGGATGGAGATCTGACAACTTCATGTAAGGTCTTGAGATGATGTCCGCTATCTTCTGCTGGTAAAGCTTTTCCGCTTCCAGGGACAAAGCGTATCGGCGGCGTTCTTCTTCCTTCTCAAGATCACGGGCTTGCTTGTTGTAATCCATCTGAGCATTGAGTTCCTCCTGATACGCCTTTGCTTGCTGTGTGCGCCTGCAGATAACGTAATAAAGAGGGATGAGCGTAATCAGAAGCAGAAACTACTTAACACTTTTAACACACTCCCTTCCAGGGCATGGTCTGAAGGCACACAGCCTTTTTGCAGGCCATTCTCCCACACCCTGTTCTGTGCAAGACAGGAAGGAGGCTCACTCCACGTTCTCTTTTCCAGCAAATCTTTGAATAAAAGTGCATCTTTGAATAAATGTGCACCTCTGAATAAATAATGCATCCTTTGATGGATGCATTATTGTCCTCCACGTGACACACCTTGCTTTTCTATCCTTTTCATTGCCTATGCACTCCCTTCTCCCCCCCTCCACCTATTGTTATTGTACTCTAATATATAAAGAACCCCTGGACAGTTAAGTCCAGTCAAAGGCGACTATGGGGTTGCAGCGCTCATCTCGCTTTCAGGCCGAGGGAGCCGGTGTTTGTCCGCAGGCAGCTTTCCAGGTCATGTGGCCAGCATGACTAAACTGCTTCTGGTGCAACGGGACACCGTGACGGAAACCAGAGCGCATGGAAATGCCATTTACCTTCCTGCTGCAGTGGTACCTATTTATCTACTTGCAAAGACGTGCTTTCGAACTGCTAGGTTGGCAAGAGCTGGGACAGAGCAATGGGAACTCACTCCGTCGCGGGGATTTGAACCACCGACCTTCTGATTGGCAAGCCCAAGAGGCTCAGTTATTTAGATCACAGCGCCACCCGCGTCCCTACTCGAATATAGAGGATTGAATCAAGCTAAGTCATACTCAGAGTAGACCTACTGAAAAAATCAGTGAGCATGACTAAGCTAAATTGACGTATTTAAATAGGTCTACTCCAATTATGACACACAGTATTGTGGTGTGGTGTTTGGGGGAAAATGCTCAATAAAAATGTTAATTTTTGAAATGCATAGGTTTGCGCTGTGTATGGCTATTTGTTATCCCTATTCGAAAATTTGTTAGGATTCTAAGCACGAGCTGAAAATCATCCTTTATTCTCTGACTTTGTTATTAAAATCTGTCCCACTTTGGAATGTGGAAGGAGCTTTCGCCACATGTTGTTTTCTTATTGATGTCCCTGCAAGAAAAAGGGCTTAATTCCCAGTTTTAGGGATGGAAAACAGAGGAAAGATAGTGAGACTCTCTAAGAACACTTGAACTCAGGACTTTTAGCACCAGATTGCAGCACTCTCTCTCCTTTTAACCACTGCTACTTAGAAGCTTTCAAGGCTTTAATGTCTCTGCGCAAGAGATATGAAAATGTGTTCAATTTGCCTTGACTGTATAGGTTACAGAACTGAGGCTTTCCCTGCAAATAATTTGGGTGCCACTGGCATAGTTTGCTGGGTTTTTACCACAAAGGTATAATCAGCCCTGCTGATAGGTTCAAGAGCAATTACCTTGCATATTTCTCCTCTTCTAGACGGTTGAATTCTAGAATGGCTGCATTTAACAATTCCCTGTCCCGAATCAGTGCCTCTTGTTCTTGGGCATTTCTCTGAACTGGAAGGCAAAAGATGGAACATGTAATTGGCCGATGCTGCTGCTTTTTTGTCAATGAATTAATTATTACAATGTGTTTAGTCTTTCGGTCGCCTAACACACAGCAGTATCTGTACAGCAAAGCCGGGAAAATACCGTATTTTTCGCCCTATAGGACGCACCGTCCCATAAGGCGCACCTAGTTTTTTGGGGGGGGAAATAAAGGGAAAAAAATTATTTCCCCCCCAGGCGCGGGGCTGGGGCGGGGGAAGCTTGAGCTTCCCCCAGCCCCCAAACAGGCAGCTCTCTGCAAGCCGTGGGAGCGCTCCCGCTGCTTGCTGAGAGGTGTGCGAAGCCTGGACGCGCTGAGCTGAGCGCGCGCAGGCTTCAGCATGCAGGCAACTCTCCGCAAGCAGCGGGAGCCCAGCGCTGGGCTCCCACTGCTTGCAGAGAGGTGTGCGAAGCCTGGAGAGCGTGAAGGGTCGGTGTGCACTGACCCCTCTCGCTCTCCAGGCTTCAGCGAAAGCCTGCATTCGCCCCATAGGACGCACACACATTTCCCCTTCATTTTTGGAGGGGGAAAAATGCGTCCTATAGGGCGAAAAATACGGTAGTTAAAAACAACCATCAACATCAAAACAATCAAATCAATACATAAAACATCAGCTTTCACAGGGTTGGGTGGGAGGGTGTGCTTATCAGTAACCCAGGGCATCACTAACATTGCCTTAGCTGCTAGTTATCTGTTCATGCCAGGCAGGCCTTACTTAGGAGACCATTCCACAGACAGAGGGCCACAACTGAAAAGGCCCTGTTCCTTATTCACACCCTTCAAGTCTCTCTCAGAGGAGGCACGTGGGGACACTTGTAATGGGCGGTTATATTCTTGTCTGGAGTGGGAATTAATCAGGTATTATGGTCCTGCAATGTATAAGCCCTGCGGGATTTGACATCTTTCCACAGGGCCTGCACGATGGAGCTGTTCCGGGGTTCAGTCTGATTCTTTTCTTTTTGTATAAGAACAAGCATTAAAGAGGCCTCCTAGCCCGCTCACAGGTCCTTTATAAGGCCAGTGGTAACATTTGGCCCTGGAGAATATTAACCACTCTCAGTTTTACCCGTGGACTGCCATCTGTCCAGATTTTAATTTGCTCTGAACTAATTTTAAGATGTATTTTAATTAACTGACTGCCTGTTTTTATGTTCTTATATTCTTTGTATACTGTGTTAGTTTTATGATGTCAGCCGCCCTGAGCCCGGCTCTGGCCGGGGAGGGCAGGGTACAAATAAAAATTTATTATTATTATTAGTTCAAACCAGCACCTTAAATTGGGTCTGGAAGCGTATAGGCGGCCAGTTTAAACTTTCTTAAATGGGTGAGTGGGTGGAGGGGAGGGGGTTACTGGTTTGTAGGAGGCAGGTCTTGTTTTTATTCTGTATTCTGTGCTTTTATATTGTATTTTTATGTTGTGCACTGCCCAGATATCTACGGACGAAGGGCAAAATACAAATTCAACAGATAAATGAAATAAAAATAAATAAATGGCAAAAGCCTTTCCTGATTAGTTCCATCCCTGTTCCTGCTGCTGTACTATATCATGAATTTTGTTACATGTGCTTACTACTTTGGTTACCTCCCGGCAGGGCTACTGCAATGCAACATATGTGGGGCTGTCCTTGAAAACAGTCAAAAAGTTCCAGCTATTGCAGAATAGCAAAGTGGGATCATCCAACACTGATCCTTAAAGCACTGGACTGGCTGGCTGTGAGCTATTGAGCACAAATCAAGGTGCTGGCATTCTGGGCATGCATATTACCTTTATGAGGATATGGGTATGAGCTGGGCTGATTCAGGGCTGGGAGGGGGAAATCCTTAATAAAATATGGGGTGGGGCAGGCAATCCTATTTATGGGCTCGACTTTGCGCATTTACGATGGCACTGTACAAGTGCAGAACACGGTAGGCATGCAGTTCAACGCCTTGAGAACCTCGGCTTTTGTTTTTGTTATGAAAGCCAAGTGTCCAGGCCCTTCAGAGTGTAAAATATAGGCTTCAAAGCACACAAACAATGAACATCTGGCGTCATCTTTGGCCAGGGCGCAGGAAAAGCGGGCGAGGCTTTTGCTTTTGCCAAGGGTGAGGTTTCAGTTCTTTGCACAGCTCCTTGTTCCTGATTCATAGAAGCAGAATTCATGATGTGTAGATGCATTAATTTGCATTGTTTATGCAGTCTGCAGAATTCAGGTGCACAATTCTGACCTCGCTTCCTAAAGCTCAGCCTGCACAGAGCCCTGTTTAGTGTTCCTGCTCTACTGGCGCAGGTCTCCTGTTCCAGACCTGTTCCAAGATAGAAGGTAAATCAGGCCCATGGATAACGTGTCCCCGACATCCCCTTACGTTTCTCCTCCAGTTGAAGTCTCCTCGTGTCCATGACTTCTGTGAGCAAGCGGCCCCTGGCCTCCTTCATGGCCCTCTCCTTCGCGGCTCTCTTTGCCCACATCCGGGCTGTCTCTTCCGCCCGCAGCTTGTCCAGCTCTTTTTCCTGGCGCTGCTCGTCCTCCCTCTGCTGAGCCAGGTAGGCCTTAAACATCTGCTGCTCTTTCAAGAGCTCTTTCTGCAGAAAAGAGACGAGGAAAAAGTTGCAGAAAACAATAAATAAAAAAGGAGTCATGGCAATTAGTCAAGGCTAACAATCCTTAGCCTTCCCCAAATGAAAATGAGGAACATAAAAAGCTGTCTTGAGGCAAGTTGGACCATTGGTCCTTTTACCTCAGTACTGTCTACACTGACTGGCAGCAGCTCTCCAGAGTTTCAGACAGGCAGTTTTTCCTAGCCCTACCTGGAGATTGAAATAAATATTTTGCTTGCTCGCTTAATACCAGATCTCAGTGTGACCTAATGAAACTGACTGGCAATAAATTCAGGATAGAAAGTCAGAGGGGGGAAGAAATAAAACCATTGTGGGCTGACATTAGCAATGAAAACATTTCATCACTCCTGACTTTAACGTATGACTTTATCCCTAACATTGTAGAAGTACTGCATAATGCATATAAATGGCCCACAGTTTGCTAATTCTGGAGAAGTCCTTCCCTTGCTCGACATTTGGTGTTATCTGAGAACTTTGCCTATTCAGGTGATCTGCCATTACAGCTTTTCTTTTTAGGCAAGCTGTGAACCGCCAAGCGTGATGGAGTCCGGCTGAGTTTCTTTTATTCTCCCTGCTACTAATATGATGCTGCTGGTTCAGATTTCACTATTGGTTGGGCTGTATAATGCAAATGGTTTAGTTTTAAATACTGTTCTCAGCTTCGAGAACTCATGCAGGTTGAAAATCAAGATGATAACGCAGCACTGGGAACCTATGGGCTAGATTCAAACTTTGCCAACCGTTGTGGGTTGTGGGGGCACATTCCAATGGTGAGCAGAGACAAAAAGTAAATAAATATGCACACTTTGTTTTCCATGCAATTGCTACTTGCACATACCTGTTCCTTTTTTCTCCATTTCCCCAAGTCTTATTTCTGTGTAACGTGCAGTTAATTTCTCTTTACTCTGATTTTTGACCCTTGAGAATCGGACGTAAATTCTCAGGAACCACCTTATCTTTGTAATCGTAGGTTGCTTTAAACTGTTTTTAATATCGCATAATGTTGTATTCTACTGTTAATGTTGTGTTTTAATTGCTCTAACTCGCCCTGGGACCTTAAGCCTGAAGGGTGGGTAATAAATTGTAATGATTGTGGTGGTAATAATGCTTGTATATTTTTTAAACGGAAATGCATTCACTGGTTTTCTGAAGATGATATATTTGAAATAAATCGTTTCAAACAGATTATAGCCTCTTCTTTGGTCATCACCTCTTGCTTGTTGGTGGTGCAAATTAAGAACCACATTTTCAGCTCCTACCTCTGTTCTCCACCCATTGTCACAAGTGCGCGCACACACCAGACATGCAGGTAAAAAACTCTCTCTCTAACAAACACATGCACACAGGCAGGCACACACACCAGCATTTCCACCCCCTCTACTCTAGCATGGGGATGGAGGTGGCTGGAAAGATCCCCCTGCCTACAGAGAAGGAATAGGGATTTCCTTTCCCAGTCTTTGCACCAAGATCTGAGATAGGAGTAAAAGGCAGCCTTTCTCCCCCGCTCCCATCCCAGCACTTGCTGAGTAGGAATGTTGCCTTTTAATCTATAAGCACCAGTAGAGGACTTCTTGCTGTGGCACTTAGTACTAAGGCTGGAGACGTAGGATCTCTCTGCCTGCTCTTTTAAGGGCTGACCTCCAATCACCACACAATGACACTGGGGGACTGGCAGGGAGGCAGGGGTCACTGAGAGGTTGGGCAGGTTGGACTGGGCAGGCCAGATTAGGCCCATGGGCTGGAGGTTCCTCTCCACTGTGATAAATTCTCAAACAAGGCTTGATCCTTTTTTTGTCATGAGCCCAGGGCTTCCTTGGAAGTCTGTTGTGGGCTCCCAAGTGACAAGGTCGGTGTCAGGGGACTGCCATCGGAACAGGGAAGGCAAGCTGAGGGGAAGTTGGGTTACAGGGAACCTCTGAAAATCTTGCGAAGCAGTTCCTCTTCCTGTGGTGGGGAAAGCCACACCTCCAGTGGGGAAGAGGGGAAGGGACCAGAGGATGCTGCTGGGAGCCTCAGCACCGCTCCTGGTCCAGCCGGCCAGGAGGGAAGCACGCTTCTTCCGTCGCCCACCCTGCGCAGAGGTGTAAAACGCAAAGAAGGAAGGAAAAGGCTGGGGGTGACTAAGCTGTTATGTTGGGGGAGGACCCAGAAACAACCACTCCCAGATTCTGCTAGCCATTGAGGCAGACATGAACTTGTGGTTCTGCACTGTAAATAGTTTTGCACCAAAATAAAACCTGTAAAAGAGAGGTGGCAGTACTGACTTACTCACGAGCAACCACCATTGCCATCTGATAGTCGGCAACGGCAAAGAAGCCAGAAACATGGAATCTGCTGCCTTTAGCTCAAAACCTGAATTAAATACTAGCCTTACTTTCCTTCTCTTTTGGCTCTCTGTATCCTCCTGGGATTCTTTCATGATGTGATCCAGGATCTTCATATCTAAAGCCAGCTCCTCTTGCTGCTCTTCGTGGAGACGCCTCCTCTTCTCTTCCATGGAATCCAGCAGCATGTCTCTGCACTCCCTCAGCTTCCGCTGCCGCTCAATCTCGGCTCGCTCATTCTCTAGTTTCATCAGCTGACGTTCTTCTTCCTACAAGTAGCGGCAAGAGAGATGGTTAACTCGCACCTCCTGCTTTAATTATGCCCAACAAAACGGGGGGGGGGGGGCTAGACTGGGAGAATCGCAATGCTACAAAGATGTAGCAATGGCTGCCGTCTTGGACCCAGCAGATTCATCTTACGCTCTTAAACCAGCTACGTCCTCGGTCCAGTATATCTGAAGGAGCGTCTCCACCCCCATCGTTCTACCCGGTCACTGAGGTCCAGCACCGAGGGCCTTCTGGCGGTTCCCTCACTGTGAGAAGCCAAGTTACAGGGAACCAGGCAGAGGGCCTTCTCAGCAGTGGCGCCCTCCCTGTGGAACACCCTCCCACCAGATGTCAAAGAGAACAACAACTACCAGACTTTTAGAAGACATCTAAAGGCAGACCTGTTTAGGGAAGCTTTTAACGTTTGATGTATTACGGTATTTTAATATTTTTTTGGAAGCCACCCAGAGTGGCTGGGGAAGCCCAGCCAGATGGGCGGGGTATAAATAGTAAATAAATTATTATTATTATTATTATTATTATTATTATTACTTTACCATCAGCTTTGCCTCTTCTTCCTTCAGCCTCCTCGCCTCCTCCCGCTGAGCGTCCGCCACAGTTTGCTGAGCGTCAAGGAGGTTTTTCTGGCTGTCAGTCCACTTTGTTCTCTTCCGTTCGTCCTCCGCTGCTCGCTTCTCCTTGGCCAGCCTGTCCTCTTCCCAAAGAGCCGCAAAGGCCGCCTCCTCCCTTGCTCGTTGCTTCTTGAGTTCCTCCTTCAGGGCCAGCTGGGCCAGCCGGTCCTCACATATCTCCATCAGATGCTTCTTGCTCCACAGTGTCCGTGCGTCCTCACAAGTTGCTCTGAGCAGGAGAGAAAAGGAGGAACGGAAACATGTTTCTGAAGAGGCATATGGACACAGTACTGTGCCATCAGCAACACAGAAAGCTGCCTTATACAGAGTCAGGCCACAGGATCACCCGGTTCAGTACTGTTTACACTAACTGGCAACAGCTCTGCAGGGTTTCAAAGCAAAATTTCTGACCAGTCCTGACTGGAGATGCTGGGGATTGAACCAGGGACCTTCTGCATGCAAAGCAAGAGGCTCCACCTCTGAGTTGCAGCCCTTCTTCAATAATGCTGATTCACATTACGGCTAAAAAATACATGTCTAGGCACAAAACAAAGCTAAAAATGTTAGTTCTGTTGGTTCATAGCTGTGCAGTAGATGGAAGGCTACATAGCCCAAAGGTAGTGATATTTAGGGATGCCTGAAGAACTAGAGTTCTGCAGATTCCAATATGAACTGACCTGATCCACAACAACCAGCCCAATGTAATTATCCTCTGGATTTGACACTTCTCCAAATGCCAAAATGCAATTTAAAGTATGTAGTTTTATGGGGCGTATTTGAATACTTATTTTATGATCAAATGTGTTTTCGAATATAAAAAATAACAGCGGTGGGACCCCTCTTAAAATGTGGGCCTCAGCAGTTGCCCAATAATGCCAACCCCTGATGCTGCCCATGCCCCTTCATTTTCTAGGTAATGATGTCCAAGAGGTTTATCTGTTAAGCAACTTCGGCTCTTGACCTGTCAGATTCTGCCAACTTAGCAGAGAGGCACACTCAGGGAGGGGTGCCACCGAAAGCATTTTGCCTAAGGGCCCCAAACCCTGGCACTTGTACCGGACACAAAGAACTCCCTCACTGATTTTTCTGCACCCAGAAACTCCACGGGTTCTTCTCCATATCATTGCAAACTAATCATCATATCACATAACGCAGCTGGAGCAGATCTTTGTCAACACTGTGACAAATCTTCCTGCAACTGCTTTCCGGGGAGGGTGGGGCAGGGGAGTGCTATTAAGCGCCTGCTGCCCATCCAAGTGTAATTTGAAGGTGCAGCCGTTTCGCTGCCTCTGCAAATAACAGTTCACTGCTGATCGGCTGCATACGCTAAAAAAGGCATAATAAAGCAACATAAAGGTGACATGCTTATTGGCATTGAGAATGGATATATTGTACAAAAAGGAATGCCTCCTGTAAACGAAGGGCACAATCTATCAGAAATTCTCTTTTTCAAAGGAGCAATAGCAGCACAGGAGAACTACTGAGCCATAGCTGTCGTTAACCTTCCCTTTTTTGCGGGAAATTCCCTTATTCCAGCACCGTTTCCCACTGCTTCCCGCTGCTATCCCGGATTGTTAGATATCCCGCAGACTGTCCCCGGGACAGGTGAGGCTGCTGATCCCTTATTTTTGAGGCTGCTGATCCCTTATTTTCAAATCTGAAAGTTGACAGCTATGTATTGAGCAAGTGTCATGTTGGCAACTGGGGGAGCAGCTGGTAAATAGGCTGGTTTGGGGAACAGGAGAGCAAAAGGGATCTGAGACTTTGGCATGCATAGTTAGTGCATGCAACCACTTGATGGTTGTTAAGTGTTTGCCACATCTGGAGAGCCAGAGTCTGTGACTCCTGATTTAGAGAGAGAAACAAGATCTATGGATAGTGGATCACTGGTTTAAACGGTCAAAGAGAACATCTGGAAGAGATCAGGGAGGAGCAGGGCAATGGGGTGGCAGTGATAAAGCTTCTGCTGCATGAAAAGTGATCCATCCAGACTCTAGATCAAAATTCCCTTAAGAGAAAGGAGAGCACTGCTTGCTTATCCAAAGCCGCAGCTTCTAAACCACATGAATGCAACAGACATTTCAAAAAGTAGGAGTTAAATCAAAGCGTTAGCCAAGGCAGTAATTCATAATACAAAATAGCTCCATAACTGTTTGATCCGACCAAAATAAGTCATCCAAAGCAGCTTTTACAGCCACCCATACACATCTGCTCTCACAGATGGTTGTTCAACTATTTCACTTTGCTGTCCTAAGCTTCTCTACTGTCAAGAGCTGTGAAATTTTAACATTGCTTACGGAAGTCAGATGCCAAATTGGTGCCCCTTACCAGCATTTATCCATTTTTATGGGAGCAAGGCAGAATCACGTGTGACTACACTCTCTCCTTTGCAAGAAGTGACAAACGTTATGATAGAATAGAGGGAATGATATGCCTATATGGCCACTTTAGAGCCATCCAAAACATCTTTAATATACATATGTAAATAAATAATAAATGCCTCCAAAGCTCAAATGGCGAGGCAATAAACTACAATTTCTATACAAGTGTCAGCAGGGGAGAGAGAGGAAAAAAACTGTTGTAAAAAGAAGAGAAGATACAAAAACATTTCCTCGTGATATATTTAAGAGACCCATAAAACAATATTTCTCTCTTGCCACCCAAACAAACCATGTTCAGAGCTGCAAAAAGTATGACTGGCAGCCTCTCATCATTAGGGATGCATAAAGCTGTCAGTTCTGATTTCTCTCTGTTTCTCATTTTTCCAGTCTTAAGTTCAGCTTATGTCATTACATCAGTTTGCAAGCTTTTTTAAAAGAAAAAGTCATGAAAATCTGGCCACACCTTTGTCTGCATTTCTCATAATAGACAGACTTTTACAAGTGATATCCACTAATATAAGGTATTTTTGTACATTTTCTTCACTAATATACACATTTTTGTTCACACTCCCCCTCCAGCACATGCTTTTGTACACATTTTTGGGTTTGAGAACTGCCCAGCAAAATTTGTTGAAGCATGAATTTCAAAGGATAGCCTGCATAAATGTTCAGGAAGTGCAGGTTTGGTATTCAAAATGGTTCATTGGTTTAGGACCAAACAGTGGACTCAGCACTATTCTGAACACAAAAGCAGGGCTCCGGGCTTTAACTAGTTTAGCTGGAAGATTAATCCAATGGTCTTCGACTGTTGGGTTATGATTTCTCATTCCGCCACACTTAACACTCTAAATCAGGGTTTGCCACCATGGTGCTCATACAGTGGTGCTCCTGAGGTCCTCCGTGGAGCCCCCAAAGCAATGGAGCAACCCTACCCATTGCTCCTTGTGGCCATGACAACGTAAGAGTAATTACCTTTTTCTCCTTTGAAAAGTACATGGATCTGAAGAAGGAAGATGAAAGGGGGATGCTCTTCCTTGTATATCTCCACCCCCATCATTCTACCTGGACACTGAGGTCTAGCTCCGAGGGCCTTCTGGCGGTTCCCTCACTGCAAAAAGCCAAGTTACAGGAAACCAGGCAGAGGGCCTTCTCGGTAGTGGCGCCCGCCCTGTGGAACGCTCTCCCACCAGATGTCAAAGAGAACAACAATTATCAAACTTTTAGAAGACATCTGAAGGCAGCCCTGTTTAGGGAAGCTTTTAATGTTTGATGGGCTACTGTATTTTAATATTTTGTTGGAAGCCGCCCAGAGTGGCTGGGGAAGCCCAGCCAGATGGGCGGGGTATAAATAAATAATAATAATAATAATAATAATAATAATAATATTTATCTTATGCATTAAATTTATACGTCAGCCTTCATCCAAGGATCACCAGGGTGGCTTACTTCCTCTTTCAGTTCCATGTGCTTTTCAAGGCTTAAATTGATTTTACTGGCTCTAGCGTTTACCAGATCCCTTGAAAAGGCAGTGTATGTGTATGAATGCACACACACTCTTGTTTTCAGCAGGAATGATCTTGCCCAGATAAAAGGGGGAGGAACGCGACCAAAGGCCATAGTGCCCACAGCGCTCACTGAAAAGTCCAAATGGGCCCACAGGTCTAAAAGGAAACATAAATTCATGGACTGAGAAGTTGCCTGCCCCCTCCCCATTCCTCCTGCCTGGGCTGCCCCTGTTTATGACCAGCTTACCTGAACTGTTGATCCCTTTTTTCCGCCACAAGCTTCCTCCGAGCTTCTTCCCTCTTGTCTCTCAGCAATTTTGCTTTTGCTCTCATGTTCACTTGCCTGTCCTCCATAGTTTCTCCCAGCGATTCTATTGCAGCTAGATAACACTTTTCCTCGGCTTCCAGGAGATCGCGAAGCCTGGGAAGGATGTATTAAAAATCAAATCACTGTCAATGTGGTTTTTTACAGAACGTGGAAGAAAGAACACTCTGAATCAGAGGGAAAGAGCATCCCCATCTCTAGAATTCTATTTAGTATCTATACGAAGGCATTTGCAGCAGTCATTAGGAGTTTGGGGGCAAGTTGCCATACTCCTGAACCCAGAGAAGCCTTGCCACAGTAATTCAAGCATTGGTTCCTTCAAGACTGGGTTACTGCAACGTGCTCTGTGTGGGGCTTCCCTTGCACTTGATCCAGAAGCTGAAGTTAGTGCACATTTCTGCAGCTCCATTGCTGACAGGAGTGAGGCCTTGTAAGTGTATAAATTTAATGAGATAAATAAATAGTACCAAAGGCCTCATCTGTCTACCGTGTGGGAGAGAATTCCTTATCATGTACTCTGCAGACCAGGGTCTTGGTCCCTCCATTTAAAAAACAGGAGCAGAGTTGTGATGTCAAACCAAGTAAGGCTTGCTTCATTAGCTCAATTCCAGGGATGGCCAAAATCTGAATTTAGCGTCTGGAGTGGTGAAGGTGGGCAGGATCTATTCTTTAAGTATCCGTCATGGAGCACAAAGTTCATATTGCTCATTTCCATTACATCCACCCTCAATACCCACCTCTTCAGTGAAAACGTTGGTGTAACCACTTATTTATTTCACGGCAGAGCTTACAGAAAAATGCATTAGTCTTTCCCACTTTGACCTCACAACAACTCTGTGAAGTAGTTAAGGCTGAGAGAATGCAACTGATCCAAGATCAGACAAGCACCCTTCATGGCTGAGTCAGTATTTGCGCTTGGGCCCCTCTGATCTCAGATCATACACATTTAAAGCACACAGTTTCCCCCAAAGAATCATGGGAACTGTAGCTTGTTAAGGGTGCTGGGAATGATAGTTCTGTGAGAGGTAAACTACTGTTCTGAGGATTTTTTCAGGGAAGCTATGCGTTTTAAATGGGTACTGAATGTGCTTTAAATGTACGCCCCATTCTCCATAGAAACAAAGCATAAGTACACATAGGAACACAGGTATCCAACTTATACCAGGCCAGACTATACCAGGGGCAGCAGCTCTCATGTTCCTGACCCTTTCGGATGCTGGGGATGAACCTGAGACCTTCTGCACGCAGAGCAGGTGCCCTACCGATGAACAAAGGCCTCTCACTATTGTGAGACTGTACACTTCTTGTGAGCAAGAGACCTGTTTTACTTGCTGTGGCTTTCTGTAAGGCACATCAACTTAAACAGTAATAAAATGAAACCTTTCATGTTTATTTTTTGTCGTCCCCCCCCTCCTGAAGGACCAGTTTGGTAGCATTAAAGCAGCAGTGGGAACCCATTTTTTCAGCCTGAGGACAGTATTCCCACATGGGCAGCCTTCCAGGGCCCACATGCAGAAGAACCAAGAGGCAAAAGTGAGCAGGAAATGAATGCAAATTTTACCTTTGTATGCCCTCCTCTAATTAAAGGCAGAAACCCAAGATTGAATCATCAGCTTGCTCAACTGGCTTGCTTACCTTTCTTTCCTCTCCTCTTGTCCTGCCAGGTATGCCTGCATTTCAACATCAACCCTTTTCTGCACGATCCGGTGGAACTGTTTTCGCTCATTCCGATCCTCCCTTTCGATGATCTGGCGGCCAAGGAGATGGGACTTTGCGTACATCGCGGCCGCATGGCGAAGTTTCTCTTGCTCCCTCCAGAGGAGGATTTGCTTCATGGCATCATTCGGTTTGGGAAACTTGGCCCTCTGTAAGAGGAAGTATGCCTTTAGTAACGGGAATCGGATCTAGATTTTACATCAAGCATCAAGGGGACGAAGGGAAGTGGAGCACATTTCCTCTGTATGAAGTGGACGCCGCTTTAAAGAAATTACATATAAAAACATTATTTCATCCAGTGATCTCAGGGTTGCCAGGAACTTCAGCCACCAAATGCCTGGGTAAACAGGAATGCCTTCAAAGTCCACCTGAAACTTACTAAAGATGGGGAAGGATGCACCTCACACAAATAAAATGACGGCACTGATTATGAGCACTATCTCTATCCCTGGGCTGACTCCAGGGAAGAAGTGTACAAGGGACTGCAGCCCAGATCTCTGAATGTGAGAAAGTGGTCTGAACCAAGAAGCCGATGTCAGAAAAGAGAAGCTGCTGCTCGGTCCAGTATACCTGAAAGAACGTCTCCACCTCCATCGTTCTACCTGGACACTGAGGTCCAGCGCCGAGGGTCTTCTGGCGGTTCCCTCGCTGCGAGAAGCCAAGTTACAGGGAACCAGGCAGAGGGCCTTCTCAGTAGTGGCACCCGCCCTGTGGAACTCCCTCCCACCAGATGTCAAAGAGAAAAATAACTACCAAACTTTTAGAAGACATCTAAAGGCAGCCCTGTTTAGGGAAACTTTTAATGTTTAATAGGTTATTGTATTTTAGTGTTTTGTTGGAAGCCGCCCAGAGTGGCTGGGGAAACCCAGCCAGATGGGTGGGGTATAAATAATATATTATTATTATTATTATCATCATCATCATCCTATTATCGTTATCATTAAAAAATTTAAAAACACCCAAAAGCAGCAAACTCTCAAGGCCACTTTAACCACAAGATAAATATACACAGACAACAAAAAGCCAAATAAACTTATGTATTTATTTATCATGTCACCCTTCATCTGAGGATCACAGGGCAGTTTATGCATAATATTTAAACACCACTTTGGAACTCCCTGCCTATTGATATCAAGCAGGAGCCTTCACCGCATTCCTTTTGGCACCTGCTGAAGACCGTTCTTATTCAGATGAGCCTACTCAGGTGTTTAGGGACACTGATATGAGCTTTAATCTAGTCTAACTCCATTCTTTGCTTTCAGCTTTCCGCATGTTTTGAATTCACGGCTGTAAAAGGAAAAAATAGATGACAATCTCATTGCTTGTGTGTGTGTGTGTGTGTGTGTATACACACACACACACACAGAGTGGTACCTCTGGTTGCAAACAGGATCCGTTCCGGAGGCCCATTTGCAACATGAAAAGCCCGCAACCTGAAGTGGGATTGAGTGTAGGTATGTTTGAACATTTTAAGGACTGTATGAAATGTATGTTTGCATGCTTGTATATTCACAATATGTGTGTATTAATGTTGAATTATTTTAATAATAAAAACTTTTCAAAAAAATAAATAAAATGAAATGTCGTATCTGCGCAGGTGTGCGGCACGATTTGGCGTTTGTGCGCATGCGCGGAGCGCGATTTAGCGCTTCTATGCATGCGTGAGCAGTGAAACCCGGCAGTAACCCTTTCTAGTACTTCCTGGTCGCCGTGGGACGCAACCTGAAAAAGCGTAACATAAAGCAAATGTAACATGAGGTATGACTGTATATATATACACACACACACACATATATATAATATATATATATACACACACACATTCTCTCTCTCCCTATATATAAATATTTGGTAAACCGCTTTGATGAAGGGGGTTCACCCCCACCCCACTTCCCACCCAGCCCTTTACAATCAAACGGTGCATAAATCTCATGAAACAAATGATAAATGGAATGAATAAAACAACAACAACAAACAATACATAAACTAATATCTATTAGCCTACAGCAAACCACATCTCGCACAGCGAGGCTTACATCCAATAGCGAAGCGTTGCGCTGACGGGCCTCACTGAGGACTAGTTCCCTGTGCCCTTAGACAAACAGCGTTTATTTTGGGGGGGGGTTGATATAACCCTCCCTATATAAGGAAACCAGTCCCCTCCGCGCTCCCCAATTCCCCCCTCAAAGCTCTACGGACTTACTATGGCGTAGGAAAACGGCTTGGGTCCCCGCACCTCCCTCACCACTCGCCCATAGGGATTCGCCATCCTGCCGCCCTCCATGCCTGAGGCGAGGTAATGCCGCGGCGGGCGTTGCCGTGGAAACCGGACGCGGGAACGCGCGGCGTCTACGTCATCACGCCGGCGCCGCTCCGGCCGAAGTTTCGGCGCGTAGATTCCGACTCGTGGCTGCTGCTGCTGCTGCTGCTGCTGCGCATGCGCGTTAAGCGAAGCCGGGCTCCTTGGAATGAATGGATGGCGGATGAATGGAAGGGAAGCGAAGGAACCGGGCTGTTTCGCAGTCTTGTTGTTTAGTCATTTAGTCGTGTCCTCCTCTTCGTGGCCCCATGGACCAGAGCACGCCAGGCACTCCTGTCTTCCACTGCCTCCTGCAGTTTGGTCAAACTCATGCTGGTAGCTTCGAGAACACTGTCCAACCATCTCGTCCTCTGTCGTCCCCTTCTCCTTGGGCCCTCCATCTTTCCCAACATCAGGGTCTTTTCCAGGGAGTCTTCTCTTCTCATGAGGTGGCCAAAGGATTGGAGCCTCAGCTTCAGGCTCTGTCCTTCCAGTGAGCATTCGGGGCTGATTTCCTTCAGAATGGATAGGTTTGGTCTTCTTGCAGTCCATGGGACTCTCAAGAGTCTCCTCCAGCAACATAATTCAAAAGCATCAATTCTTCAGCGATCAGCCTTCTTTATGGTCCAGCTCTCACTAGGCAAGGCTAACTTATTTGCACACACAGCAAAAACAATTGCGAGCTTCTGTTTGTTTGTTTGTTTGTTTGTTCGTTTAAAAAGGGTGTCTTCTGTAAAAAAGAAAGAAAGAAAAGCAATTGCAATGGGAAAAAATTGAGATGGGGACAATTCCAGTCTATGAATTACTTTGGAAATGGTAAAATCCTTCAACATATGAAATAAGAATGTCACCAGGCATTTTTGACATTTGTTGTTTAGTCGTGTCCGACTCTTCATGACCCCATGGACCAGAGCACGCCAGGCACTCCTGTCTTCCACTGCCTCCTGCATTACAGTTTGACAAAAGCTATTCTGTATAAAGCTGCGCCCCTCCGGCCCTGAGTGCGAGGCAGCTTATGTGTCAATCACCTTGAACCCAGCAAGCAGGAATAGTTCTGATTTCTTTTAGAAGCATTGCGACTGCTGAAAGTTTTCCATCCATGCTATAGCGCTGCTTAAGAAACGTCAAGAGTTTAACTTTATAGTCCCCCAAAAATGTTTCCTCTTAAAATTGCTGCTCCAAAACAGGCCACATTTCCGGGGGGGACGGACGGACCTGTGCCCTAATAAAAAGTTTAACCAGAAAATGAAATAAATAAATAATTGCCTTCCTAAGGGGGTCCTTGCCTCAGAAGGAGGACTGGGACCTCGGAAGCAGCGCGGCTTTGGAAGGCTCCGTACCGGTCGGGAATAGACAGAGACCACACCAGGATTTGAGAAAAAGCAAAGTTTGATCTTTACTGAAAGAACAGAGGAAAAAAACAAACTGTTGCAACAGGGTCCCCGCTCACGTAATAAAACGGAGTGAGACCCCAAACGAAAGAGCTGCCTTGACTCTTATACCTTTTGGTTTCCAATACAGATCAATAACAGGGAAGCGACGTGAATGGCATGAAGAGGGGATTAACATAAGGTAAATAGGATGTTCGTATAGTTAAAGCTCTGGTTTTCCCAGTAGTGATGTATGGAAGTGAGAGCTGGACCATAAAGAAGGCTGATCGCCGAAGAATCGATGCTTTTGAATTAGGGTGCTGGAGGAGACTCTTGAGAGTCCCATGGACTGCAAGAAGATCAAACCTATCCATTCTGAAGGAAATCAGCCCTGAGTGCTCCCTGGAAGGACAGATCCTGAAGCTGAGGCTCCAATACTTTGGCCACTTCCTGAGAAGAGAAGACTCCCTGGAAAAGACCCTGATGTTGGGAAAGATGGAGGGCACAAGGAGAAGGGGACGACAGAGGACGAGATGGTTGGACAGTGTTCTCGAAGCTACCAGCATGAGTTTGACCAAACTGCGGGAGGCAGTGGAAGACAGGAGTGCCTGGCGTGCTCTGGTCCATGGGGTCATGAAGAGTCAGGCACCACTAAACGACTAAACAACAAGTAGGATGTTGTAAGACCTTTAAGGTAAAGGGACCCCTGACCATTACGGTAGGTCCAGTTGTGACCTACTCTGGGGTTCCGATGCTCATCTCGCTTTATTGGTCATGGGAGCCGCCGTATAGCTTCCGGGTCATGTGGCCAGCATGACTAAGCCGCTTCTGGCGAGCCAGAGCAGTGCACGGAAACGCCGTTTACCTTCCCACTAGAGTGGTACCTATTTATCTACTTGCACTTTGATGTGCTTTTGAACTGCTAGGTTGGCAGGAGCAGGGACCGAGCAACGGGAGCTCACCCCATTGCGGGGATTCAAACCGCCGACCTTCTGATCGGCAAGTCCTAGGCTCTGTGGTTTAACCCACAGCACCATCCGCGTCCCTGTAAGACCTTTGGGAGGTGTCAATTTTGCTGTCGGGCTGGGATAATATGTGTTGAGCTTCTTATCTACAGGAAAAATCTCCATAGTTGCTGATAATCACCATGCAGATTGTGAGGCTGGATGTTGGGAAATGGCTGCAGTGTTAATGTGAGATCCTGCTGTGCATTGCTATCAATTTGGGTGTAATAGTCTGATGTTTGCATACTTACTGGAAAATAAAACTACCTTATTTGAGCCGGTATTTGTGTGTATTCATGGCATTATTTGCAGACCCAGTAGATGGCAGTGTGGTGGAGAGTGTTTTGGCAGCTACAGTTTGGATACATTCAGAAAATACAACCTAGTGCAGCATTACATTTCAGTAAAGGTACATTCATGGGAAAAACGAGATACATTTCAGTAAGGATACATTCAGATACATTCTTATATATTTCAGTGATAGCAAAAGGTAAAAAAGACACAGCAAAATGATACATTCAACGATCCATGAAAAAGACACAGCATACATTATTATACATTTCAGTGATAGCAAAAGGTAAAAGGACACAGAAGACACAGCAAAATGATTTATTCTCAAACGATGCATTTTTCCAAGGTACAGTTCATTTTCTTGTGGGGTTTTTAAGGTACAACACTATAATTCTGATATTGGTAGGGTCATTTCCCTTTATTCCCCTCTCTGACCCTGACTCTCTTACGACAAACCCATCTCTCAACTAAGAGATTTAAATATCTGAACAAGAATAACAATCAATCAATCCACGGACGTGGACTGCGAAAGAGTCCCTTGTGTTCGACAGTGCAATCGTGTACATGTCTTCTGTAATCCTATATAGTTATTTCTGAGCCTTACCTCTTACTCCCATCCAAGTACATCTAAGACTTCAGGCTCAAATTCACACTTCCTGTTTTTATTTCTTTTGATGGCACCCTCAAAAAGATACAGCCGTCTAGTTTATTAATATTACTGTGTGGTGCATGACTGCCATCTAGTGGCTAATTGGATAATGAATGTTCTATATGCCAATTGGAAATTAAGAAGGGCTCTTTCCCTTTTCCTTCCATCACAGTGCAAAAAATATGGAAAGCCTTTTAGCTCCTCCTGGTGTTATATTTTGAGCCATACCTGGTTATAGGAATTCTAAGGTCTCATATATAAAAACCATATGTTCATAACTTTACAAGACAAACACATACGTAAGTACCGTATTTTTTGCTCCATAACACTCACTTTTTTCCTCCTAGAAAGTAAGGGGAAATGTCTGTGCGTGTTATGGACGGAATGCCTACGGGTGGTGGTGGGAATCTGCTGCAGTCGTGAGCAGAGGATCCATGGTTCCCCTTCCTTCCCTCCTCCGTGGCTCGCTTTGAAACAGCAAAGCGGGAGAAAAGCCACTGAGTGGGGAGAAGAGAGGGACAGAGAGCCTGGTTACAAAGCACGGATCCACGTGGATCCTCAGGATTTTTGCACTGGGTCACCTCAAATTCACCAGCAGATCACATAGCATGTCCATGGCTACAGCTTGCACCAAAAAAATCACGCACCCACTGTTGCCTGGGGCCGCAGTGGTGCAAAAACATGGTTACAAAGCATGGATCCACATGGATCCTCAGGATTTTGCATTGGGCTACCCCAAACTCACCGTCAGATCACATGTCTGTGGCCACAGCATGAACCACAAAAATCATACATCCACTGTTTCGTTTAGAATATTTTTTTTCTTGTTTTCCTCCTCTAAAAACTATGTGCGTGTTATGGTCGGGTGCGTGTTATAGCACGAAAAATACGGTATATAAACCACGTTTCTAACATAGTACAGGAGAGCAATCCTGAAGCCATTTTGACTCTTCCCACCACCTCAAATATTCTCTACAGTGAGGAAGGAAATGGGAAAACCTCCCCTTTGTCTCTTTGCTCAGAAATCCTGTCTTAAGGGCGTATTTGTGTATGAATAGGGTGAGCCTGTGACCTGGATTCAGGAACTGAGTATTTCCCATCACAAAAGAATGGCTAGACTGCCCAGGTAGAGCAATCAGTGACCATTGTCAGGTTTCCTGGCAGACAGAATTCCTGTGGTAGACCACCCTCCTGTGATATATTTCTGTTGGAGAGCTCCTTTTGTGATGTATGTGTGATGTTTTGGGGGGTGGTCTTGGACTACAGGGCGGGCAATTCCAAAAGTCTACGCTGTACAGTGGAACCTCTACTCACAACCACAATCCATTCCAGAGGCCCGTCCTTATGGAGAAACGGGTGCTGGGAGAGGCACCGTGTGCAGGAGCGGGTGGCAATTGCCTGCTTCTGCGCATGTGCGAACGGCGGAAAACCCGCTGGTTACTTCTGGGCTTGCCATGGTCGCAACTTGGAACATCCGCGAGTGGAGGCGGTTGTAAGTACAGTGGTACCTCGGGTTAAGTACTTACCGTAATTCGTTCCGGAGGTCCGTTCTTAACCTGAAACTGTTCTTAACCTGAAGCACCACTTTAGCTAATGGGGCCTCCTGCTGCCGCTGCACCGCTGGAGCACGATTTCTGTTCTCATCCTGAAGCAAAGTTCTTAACCCAAGGTACTTTTTCTGGGTTAGCGGAGTCTGTAACCTGAAGCATATGTAACCTGAAGTGTAATGTAACCCAAGGTACCACTGTAGAGGTTCTACTGCATAAGGGCTTGCACACAGTTGTTCTGGTTTCCTCTCCTTCCTCCCTGCATGGAGTGAGTGGGGGACCCTATTGCAACAGTTTAATAAAGATCAGACTTACTAGCTGCTTTGCTTCTCAGTGTTCTCTGGTTGGCCTCTGTTATTTTCTCCTTCCGATAGAGAAACTACTTAAGGACTCTATACGTGCTCTTGGACACCCCTATAAGGGGAAAGGAGCAGGGTTTTTTTCTTATAACAGTTTGTTTGTTTATTGTATATTTGTTATGTACTGAGTTGAATAGGATCCAAACTGCAGCAGTCTGATTGGTCCTAGAACAATAGGATCCAAAATGCAGCAGTGTGATTGGTCCTAGAACAATAGGATCCAAAATGCAGCAGTCTGATTGGTCCTAGAACAATAGGATTCAGAATGCAACAGTCCGATTGGTCCTAGAACAATGCAGCAGTATGATTGGTTGGCAGGAACCACCCAATCCTGCTCCAGATAGAAGTGAATCCACAACCTGATTGGCTTACAGTAGAATTCCGGAATTAGCCAATCATGTGCAGCCCATTGTGTAAATAATGTATATAAAGCAGATACTGTGAGGGGACATTCATTCATTCCTCCTCACCACTATGAGCTGAATAAAGAGCATGAAATCACTTTGCGACTCTGAGTATATTTCACTGGCGACGAGGATGGGATTCGAACCCACGCGTGCTGAGTATATTTCAATATTTTAATTACATTGCCCTTTGAATATTGTGGGAATATAAGAAGCTGGCTTACACTGAGTCAGACAGTTGGCAGCAGCTCTCCCAAGTTTTTAATTGGGGGACATTCTGGGAATTGAGCCTGGAACCTTCTGCATGCAAATCTGATGTGGCTACGTAACTCCAAATAACAGAATGTAACTCCGCACTGTCGCTATTGGAACCAGCTATGACTTTCCCTGTTGTTTCCCTTTACACATTCACCTTAAGGAATGCTTCTACATAGATCTCAGTTTAGCAGCTTTCAATGGAGTACGTAAGCTTTTGAACTGTCTCGGGCAGCCATTCTCTATACATCTGAGAGTCACCCATTGAACTTAGTGGGGTTTAATTCTGAGTTGACATGCATAGGATCGTGCAGCTGATGTCCTAAAATTAGCAAAGTGGCGTAGCAGGCAAGTACAGTGGTACCTCAGGTTACAGACGCTTCAGGTTACAGACTCCGCTAACCCAGAAATAGTACCTCGGGTTAAGAACTTTGCTTCAGGATGAGAACAGAAATCGCATGGCAGCGGTGCTGCGGCAGCGGGAGGCCCCATTAGCTAAAGTGGTACCTCAGGTTAAGAACAGTTTCAGGTTAAGAATGGACCTCCAGAATGAATTCAGTTCTTAACCAGAGGTACCACTGTAAAGGTAAAGGGACCCCTGACTGTTAAGTCCAGTCACGAACAACTCTGGGGTTGTGGCACTCATCTCGCTTTACTGGCTGAGGGAGCCAACGTTTGTCCGCAGACAGTTTTTCCGGGTCATGTGGCCAGCATGACCAAGCCGCTTCTGGCGAACCAGAGCAGAACATGGAAACGCTGTTTACCTTCCCGCCGGAGCGGTACCTATTTATCTACTTGCACTTTGACTTGCTTTCGAACTGCTAGGTTGGCAGGAGCAGGGACCGAACTTCCCTAAACAGGGCTGCCTTCTGATGTCTTCCAAAAGTCAGATACAGTGGTACCATTAAGTACTTAATTCGTTCTGGAGGTCCATTCTTAACCTGAAACTGTTCTTAACCTGAAGCACCACTTTAGCTAATGGGGCCTCTTGCTGCTGCCGCGCCACTGGAGCACGATTTCTGTTCTCATCCTGAAGCCATGTTCTTAACCCGAGGTACTATTTCTGGGTTAGCGGAGTCTGTAACCTGAAGTGTATGTAACCCGAGGTACCACTGTAGTTGTTTATTTCCTTGACATCTGAAGGGAGGGCGTTCCACAGGGCGGGTGCCACTACCAAGAAGGCCCTCTGCCTGATTCCCTGTAACCTCGCTTCTCGCAGGGAGGGAACCGCCAGAAGGCCCTCGAAGCTGGACCTCAGATGGTAATAACTGTGGTAATAACTGTTGCTTCTTCTGTTGTCTTCCTTTACCAGAGGTAAGGAACCTTTACTGCCAGGGAGGACAGATTGTTCTGTGTCCTCACCCCCAACAGCCACCTGTGATAGGTGGGCAGGACCTGACCTTAGCATCTTCTCATAGCACCCTCACCCCCCAAAAAGAATTCTGGGAACTGTAGTTTACTCCCTCATTGAACTACAGTTCCCAGCGCCCTGAACGAACTACCATTCCCAGGATTCTTTGGGTGGCGTGTGTGATCTGAATGCATTCAAGTGTTCAGTTGCGTGCTCAGCTACAGCTGGACAAAAGCTCCAAGCTGTGGTGGATCTGCTATTAGGAACTGCTTGGTACAGCCCTTTTTTGTCCAGGCAGCTAGTTCAGAAGGCTTACGGCAACCCTGTTAGTCACAATAGTATGTTAGTCACATGGGTGAGGAATAAGCAAGGTGTTGTTTTGCACTGTACATAACCGAGCATGTGATTAGGGGAAGGGCACTGAGAGCATCATGCCCTGATAATTGGTAACGCTCAGCTCAAAAGTCCCCAGAGCTTGCACAAACCTGGAGGCGTAATTACTTTAGCAGGAAACGAAAAGCTTTCTTCTGCTGCTGTTTTAAAAATCTTTTTTCCACCACTTCAGTGGTACAAACAAACGCACACAGAGCGGAAATAATGGATTGCGGCGTGATCACCTCCAAAACGGTGTTGCTGCTGATCAGCCTGTTTTTTTGGGTAAGTAAGATGGAAAGAAAGCAGATCTGTAATTCGGTAATACTTTCCCCCTGTTCTATTGACTCTTTCCTGCAGATCTAAAACAAGAGATGGATTCGCTGAGCTTAAAACACCTGTTGCTGTGAGAGTTCACTTCGTGGACAAAGCCCTTCCCCTTTATCCCAAGTAAATGTACCCTAAGATTGTGCTCAGACGTGAAGTTCTTGGGGTGCTGTAGCGGTTAAGAGTGTCAGACTGGGATTGAGTTGGGCAGCTTCCTGCAAAATATAAAATATGTAGACATCTCTGGGGTTACAGCGTGAAACTTTCCGTATTGCTTTTTCTGTTGTCCGGGGTTCAGAAGCAGAGCTAGTAAAAGGGACGTTGGAAATGCCCTCCGGACCCCCATCCCTGTATTAACAAGGGATGCTAAGGCATTGGAGGTGGGGGAACCTGTGACCTTCAGATGCTGTTGGACTCCAGATCCCATCATCCCAAACTGTTGGCCATGCTGACAGGGGCTGATGGGAGCTGGAGTCCGTCAGTCTCAGGAGTGCTGTAGCCCGTGCTGCTTTTTTTCCCCTGGGGGGACTCAGGGGTACGCATACCCCTAAACATTTTGTAAATCTTTGTACTTTTGTCCATTTACTGTATTTATTTCCCCCGATTTTAACTATAAAACAGTGGTATTCTTGAGTCAAAATGAGAGTACCCCTAAATATTTATTATTATTTTTTTGGGGGGGGAGCACTGGTGGTTCGTCTCCCCATCCCTGCATTAGAAGCACTCTGAATGCCATGTATAAAACAAGGAGCCCCCGCATGCAGCTCCTGACTAGATTTCTAATGACTTTTTAACACACACGGCGAAAGAATAAACTCCGCAGGGGACATTTTACTCCTGGAATGAAGCTGCAGTAGTGGGGAAATATTTTTATATTTTTAATTCCTCCTTGCCATCTTAAGGCACAGGATCTCTGTAGTAATGATAAAAATGGTAAAAATAGCAAAGCATTTGGCAACCCTGGAATGAGAACGCCTCCGAGAAACTGAGCAGCGAAGTAGGGGACAGGATATCCTGTAACAGGGTGTGGGTTTGAGGTTTGAGGACCTGACAGAACATTCTCAGTACTGATTTTGGTTTAATTAGGAGGGGCTGTTTGGGTGCTTTAAAAGGAATTCTATAGGGTGTTTTTCTTTTTCCCCCAATATTCCATCGTTGCCTTTTCATGGTGTTCGATAAAGTTGCCTTTTTTTGTAGGTGGCAAATTCAGCAGAAATCATATTTATTTAGAGAGATCTAATACAGTACAAGGCAGAACTGCATTTGTGAGGCAGTTGATGTTCTGGTCTGAATTAAGTGCTTATTGGGACAAGTGCGGGTGGGAATTTTTATGGTGTTCTTCCTCAGCGCACTGTACTTGATTCTCACAGACCTTCATTTAATCCTCACCACAACCCGAGGAGGTAGGATAGGCTGAAAGAAAGTCACCCAGTGGGCTTCCTGGCTGAGTGGGTCTCTCTGATCCCAGTTGTGAACCCTAGCCACTACACCACACTGCCTCTCTGCTTCAGATTAGGCTTTTAAACAGGCCAGCAGTCGCCAGCAGAGGGTTGGCTGGGGCTGATGGGAGGTGTAGTCCAAAATATCAGGAGTGGGCACCCGGTTGGCGGAGGCTGAAATTGCTATTTGTCTGATTAACCTTGGGAGACAAAAGTAGGGGAGCTTTACAAAAGTTACTTCTTTGGTTCCCTTCGTAGGGAAGGCCTGGAGTCAGTGATTGCTCCCATGTTTTGTGTGTGGAAATTCCCAGGTTCAAAACCTCGTCTGAAACCCTGGAATGCCACTGACAGTCAATACAGCTGATCCAGTCATACCTCGGAAGTCGAACGGAATCCGTTCCAGAAGTCCGTTCGACTTCCAAAACGTTCGGAAACCAAGGCGCAATTTCTGATTGGCTGTAGGAAGCTCCTGCAGCCAATCAGAACCCACGGAACCCAAGTTGGACATTTGGGTTCCAAAGAACGTTTGCAACCTGGAACAATCTCTTCTGGGTTTGCAGGGTTCGGGAGCCAAAAAGTTTGACTCGCAAGGCGTTCGACTTCCGAGGTACGACTGTACTTACTTTTTGTCATGGACTGAATGTAGAAGAGTGGTGGGAGGCACCAACTTGAGAAACCCCAAAGGTCAAAGGCTCAGAGCCCGGGGAATGGTGGTGGGACGATGATGAGTGGTCAGAGGGAGAAGATTGGGAGGATGAGATGGCTGAAGCTGAAGAGGTAACAGGGTTAGTGAGCTGGGAGAATCTGTGGCAGAGAGAAGTCCAGAAGCAGAAGGAGAAGAGGGAGACCAAGAGGCTGGTAAAGAAGCCAGGAGGTCTCCTCTTTGTGCTGTGACAAGCTCCCCTTACCCCTGGTCTCCCAGAGCCAGAAGAGGCATGAAGAGGGCATAGTCTCAGATTGCTTGGGAAGGACCCGGGAGATGAGGAGTCTTAAGCAACTGTGGGAAGGCAGGGAACATCAGCCTCCACAACTGGAATTCCCTTCACTTACTCTGTGTGATTTATTGCTGACCCACCTTGAGGGATCGATGGTCTGACTCACTAGAAGGCTGGTAAAGGTAAAGGTAAAGGGACCCCTGACCATTAGGTTCAGTCGTGGCCGACTCTGGGGTTGCGGCGCTCATCTCGCTTTATTGGCTGAGGGAGCCGGCATAAGGCTTCCGGGTCATGTGGCCAGCATGACTAAGCCGCTTCTGGAGAACCAGAGCAGCTCACGGAAACGCCGTTTACCTTCCCGCTGAGTGGTACCTATTTACCTACTTGCACTTTGACGTGCTTTCAAACTGCTAGGTTGGCAGGAGCAGGGACCGAGCAACGGGAGCTCACCCCATCGTGGGGATTCGAACCGCCGACCTTCTGATCGGCAAGTCCTAGGCTCTGTGGTTTAAACCACAGCGCCACCCATGTCCCAGAAAGCTGGTACCTAACTAATACAGTATATGACGGCAGACAGGACAGTCACTTTTGTGGACTAAGGCCCTATCTGCACTATGCATTGAAAGCAGTACCATACCACTTTAAACAGTCACGGCTTGCCCCAAAGAATCCCGGCAACTGTCGTTTGTTAAGGATGCTGAGAGCTGTTTGGAGATCCCCTATTTCCCTCACCGAACTATAATTCCCAGAATTCCTTGGACAGAGCTACTGATTGTTAAACAGCTTTTGCTTCACTTCCTTTCATTGTTCATGTCATGTGGAAGAGCAAAGTTCAGCAGGTGCAACAGAAAAGCTGCACCTATTGAACTTTGCTCTTCCGCAGGAACCGAATAAGGAACAGAAGCCATGGCTAGCTTTGCATTTTGCTGTCCTCATCGGGTTTGCAAGCCAGAAGCAGGTTGTTGGGTGTCTTGCAGATCTGCACCTGTGGCTGCAAGCCATGTACTTCTTGAAAAAGATGCACACACGTGTTTGCAGTAGCCACAAATGAACAGATGCATTGTAAACAAAAAGGGGAAAAAACACAGCCGCTTCTCTTTTTCGAGTCCTCTTTAAACCACAGTGGGGATGTGCAACTCTTAATGCCCAGATATAAACGTAATGTTAAAATAAATCGGTAGGTGTGCAAGCCGGCAAGCAGGGCCTCTGACACAGATCTGAAGGCTCAGGTAGGTTCATAGTCAGATGGCACTGAACAATTTTCTATTTCTACGTGCGTTGAGAGGTTAAGAATTTGGGAGAACTCTGCTAGATCGGGTCAAAGGCCCATCTAGTCCAGCATCCTGTTCTCACAGTGGCTGACTGGATGCCTGTGGGAAGCTCAAAAGCAGAACCCATACCCCTCAAGACGGAATAACCCTTTTATTTTCTGTGAGAGCATGGTAGTCATTTGGGGCACCGCAATCTCACCCCGAAAAAAAGCACTTTTTCAGAGGCACAATCTCGCACGGTGCCTCAAAACACATGTTTTGGGGCAAGGTGCCCAGGGGAAAAAAGCTTTTGCTGAGGCCACAATCTTGCATGGGTGACGTGACTCGTCCAGGTGTGCGGCCCCAGAAGATGGTATCCTGGTTTTCCATCACAACATGTTGGAGGGTATGAGAAGCCGAGTGCAACATCGCTAGGGTTGCCATATTTCAAACAGTGAAAATCCGGACGGAAAAGTTGCTGGGGATATACACAAAGTATCAAATATGGTGACAGTAATAATAATGCAACAAAACAACAACACCACAAACTGGCTTATAAGTATAAAACCAAATTTACTAGAATAATAGCTAGAATAGAGAGAGACTTGTAACCATTCAAGCAACAAACATACTAAGGTGCCATGTGCAAAACAAAGCCTGGAGATACTGTGAACATGGAGTGGAAAATTATACAACTCTATCTTGACAATGTTCTACCAGTGTGGCGGTGAACTGCCTATACATGACTGGATAAATGATACCGCTTCAACAAGTAGCATAAGTCCAAGAGTCATTGAAGGGCAACCTCATGCCAGCCACAATGGCAAGGGTAGCACAGCTTGGAGAACTATGACAAAGTTTTTCAAAGCTGCTTTCCAAAGATTGTAACTGGCATGAGATGTTCTTCAATGGGTCTTGAGTTGGAAACACTGAACAGTCCATGTATGCAGTCCGTAGAAGGCAAATCAAAGCCACCACCCTGGTGAGAATATTGCAAGTGGGCAAAAGGAGACCTGTTCTCCGGATATATTACAGGTTTCGCTACACGCTTCATCAGTCTGAAAAGCTGCATGATACAAACTAGCACTCCAATTACAATGTGTGGTAAACCATAAAAATTTGGTTTTATACTTATAAGCCAGTTTGTGGTGTTGTTGTTTTGTTGCAGAAAAGTTGCTGGGACAAAGGGTGTTTAAGGAGATAACAGAAATCACTGGGTGACGCAAAGTCCAGAGGTAGCTTTGTTATCAATTGATGATGGGGTGGAAGGTTCGCTGGCTAGAAAGGACTTGCTCACAAATTTGCTGACAGCTGCATGAGTTATTATAGCTAGGAAGTGGATGGGGCAAGGTGAATATCAAATGGAAGAGTTTTCCCTCCAGGGAGATCAAGGTAGAGTGCAAAGTTCTCCCTCCTCCCCATCTTCTCCTCCTAACACCCCTGTGAGGTAGGCTAGCCTGAGAGATGCCAACCGGGCCAGGTTCGCTCAGTGAGCTTCCTGTTTGACTGGATGGGATTTTGACCTCGTCTCCCAGGATCTTGGTCTGATGCTCTAACCCAGGGTTTCTCAAACTTGGGTCTCCAGTTGTTGTTGGACTACAACTCCCATCATCCTTAGCTAGCAGGACCAGTGGTTCGGGATGATGGGAATTGTAGTTCGAAAACAGCTGGAGACCCAAGTTCAGGAAACCTTGCAGCCGATATCGCACACTGTCAGCAGGAGTCCCATCAACCGAAAGTGGGAGAGCAGAGGAATTTGGGAGATAATTTCTGTCTGGAAACAGGCAGCTGTGACATCCTTATTTTTGTTTCCTCACGTACCAAAATTCTGCAATGTTCCTCTGCCAAGGAAACAAGGCTGTCCTGCCTTACCTCTCACCAAAACATTTAATTTGGGCCTTAATAACCATATTATCTCTCGGCCTAGCCTAACCTAAGGCAGGATGGTTGTGAGGATAAAATGTGGCTGGCACACCATGACTGCTGCCCTCAGCTCTTCGGAGTAAGGGTGAGGCTGAAATATAATTGTTTTGTAATAATGTGAGCAGGAGCAACGAGGAGGAGGTCTGGGGTGCCTTAAATAATAATTTAATGTCTTGTTGCATAAGTTGTGAGAGGTTACAGCCTACTTTGTCGGATGCACGAAATGCTTTCGGAGGTTGGTAAAGGGGAGAAAAAGAGAGAGAGAGGGAGAAAGAAAGAAAGAAAGAAAGAAAGAAAGAAAGAAAGGAAGAAAGAATAGGAGTGGTTAAAGTTAACTGTTCTGCTTAGTTTCTTTTTGTTGTGGTTTGCTCATTGGGTGAGAAGCTCATATCTGGCAGGGGTACCCCAGGGCCCAGCAAAAAACTGGTGTGTGAGGGAGAGGGTTGAATTATTACTCAGAAAAAGGTAAAGGTAAAGGGACCCCTGACCATTAGGTCCAGTCGTGAACGACTCTGGGGTTGCGGCGCTCGTCTCACTTTATTGGCCGAGGGAGCCGGTGTACAGCTTCCGGGTCATGTGGCCAGCATGACTAAGCCGCTTCTGGCGAACCAGAGCAGCACACAGAAACGCTGTTTACCTTCCCGCCAGAGTGGTACCTATTTATCTACTTGCACTTTGACGTGCTTTTGAACTGTTAGGTTGGCAGGAGCAGGGACCGAGCAATGGGAGCTCACCCTGTTGCAGGGATTCGAACCGCTGACCTTCTGATCAGCAAGCCCTAGGCTCTGTGGTTTAGACCACAGCGCCACCCGCGTCCCGTACATCCCTCCTACTCCTCTGTCATCTCCAGCAACTGACAGCACCGGCTTCCCAGGATTCATTCAGGCCCTAACAGACACTGGACAAGTACTGGGTGAATCTGGCTTTCCTTCTCTAGAAGAAAAACAAACAAACAGATCTGTGCATCACGTTCTCAATCATCCAAACACCGGGTTATGTTTTTCTGGTTGCTTCCCCCGCCTCATTTTATGAAGATTCAACAGTCGGCTTTAATTTAAAACACACGGAAGGAATACATTTAGCCAAACGGGCTAGAGCGGGCACATCTCAAAATGCAAGAAAGAAAGAAAAACAAAAAGGCTGTCATTTATAACAATATGAAGCCAGAACAATGAGCTGCAAGCACTCTCCTCTTCCTCCTTCCATCCTTTTCTCTCTCTCACTCTTGGCACCATTATATACACAAGCACTAATAGAGGGTTTGTTTTCCTGAGGGTGGAGCTTTACGTAGCGAAAATGCCACCATCCACGCAGGTTTGGGGGGTTCCTAGCATCTGCAGAAGTATAAAAAACACTTTAGGGGGGAACACCCCAAAACTACCCAATGAGAACTGAGCAGGCTTGGTGGGACCACAGCATAGGAGCCAACTCCTAGGGGCTGAGGTCCCTTTGCCCCCCCCCTAAAATTTTTGAGGCCCTACCCCCAAAGTTAATGGACATTGCCATTCAAATGGTGTGAGTGAACCCCACCATGTGATTGATTGTGGGTGGTGGGGCATACCTGTCCCTCCCAATATTTTATTCAAGTTGGCTCCCCTGGAACAGAATATTCACTTTTAGGCAGGAGGAAGATGGAGAGACGGAATGGACTGTTACAGAATCCAGGAATGGCAGTCTGCAATTTGTATTCTCTTTGCTCTCTTCTACAGTACAGAAGCACTCCACGCTGCAAAAAAATATTGCAGCATCCCAGTGTGGGGTGGGTGGGTGTGTATGTGTGTGTGCAAGAGAGAGAGAGAGAGAGAGAGAGAGATTCATATGTACATTCTAAAGCAGGCATGGCCAAACTTGGCCCTCCAGATGTTTTGGGACTACAACTCCCATCATCCCTAGCTAACAGGACCAGTGGTCAGGGATGATGGGAATTGTAGTCCCAAAACAATCTAAAGACTCTTCGGGGAGATTGGCCACATTAAGAGTCAATCTTACAGCCGAGAAGCTTATGGTTTATATATATAATCAATTAATCAAAGGATCAAGAGAAAATGGTAAGTGTTTTGGGAACGCATGACCGCTTATGCTTTAGAAACTATGAAGCTAGGCTTATTTTTTCATCTCTACCCCCTGGGAGAGTGATTGTGCAGCTTGTTTGCTTAAAGGTTTAGAAGGGTGCTTGTGGAGAAATTCCATTGAGGTTCTGGTAGCTTTCCAGTCACGTGGCAGTTCATGGGAAGTTCCATAAAGTCTCTCAGACGAGCAAAAGTACTAGCGCATACAGTGTTGGAGAAAAGATCCAAGTCCACTTTAAAGATGCTTAATAAAATAATATTTGGGAAGGTGTGTTGGAGCATGTGCAGAGTGCACCCTGTACGCCAGGCATAGGCAAACTTGGCCCTCCAGATGTTTTGGGACTACAACTCCCATCATCCCTGACCACTAGTCCTGTTAGCTAGGGATGATGGGAGTTGTAGTCCCGAAACATCTGGAGGGCCAAGTTTGCCTATGCCTGGCGTACACCCAGAGAGCAGCCACAGCAGGTGCTTACTAATTCTTCAGATGGGGGGGGGGTGCGGCTTTAAAGGCGGAGCATGTGGCCAGCAGCCAGATTAAGCCTCAACACTTTTTTTGAAGTTATAATGAAATTGTGAAGTGTATACTGAAATTCACTATGGGTGAATCTTAGAATCATAGCATTGTAGAATTCACAGAGACCCTGCGAGTCAACTAATCCAGGCGCCCGCAATGTAGGAATCTCATCCAGTATTTAGGCTGCCTTCTGCCTTTCACCTTTCAAAGCGAAACTAATAAAATAACTACTCTTGATTTCAACCGCATCAAGAATCGCAGACAGCCTCAATGGTGCAATAAGCCTATTTCTTGCATAGCTCTCAAATGATGGGAGCAGTACCCCTATTTCTGCATATTTCTCAAATAATAGGTCATCAATTAACACCCAGTTCTATGAAAGTAGAGAAGAAGCCGTAATTTTTCTCTAAGCAAACAAGTCGTCTTATTCATTCCATTCCACCTTTTGTGGTTTGTTGTTAAAGCAACTCACATTGCTGCAATAATGTTATGTAAACTGTTTTGTGAGGTCCGCCCGAGAAACGATATATAAATACTCCAGTTGCAGCTCCCAGCACCCTTAGAGTCATAGCATCATAGAACTGCAGATTTGGAAGGGGTCATAAGGGTCATCTAGTCCAACCCCCAGCAAGTCAGGAATCTTCCACCAATGTGGGGCTCCAACCCACAACCCTGAGATTAAGGGGGTCTCGTGCTCTACCAGTTGATCCCTTAGCAAACTGCATTTCCCAGGGGGGAAGCCAAGCGCTTTAATTCATGTGGGTGTGGTTGCGTCAAAGCAAGTATTCAGCAAACTTTCCAGAACATTTTCCCCTCCCTCTCCAAGAGTCTTGACTTCTGAGGAAGTGTGCGTGTTGCACAAGACCTTCCAGCCATTTATAATTGGGCAACTGGAATTTTCCCATGTGTTTTTTAATCCCAGCTGAAAATAGTGATGGTGTTTTTCCCTGTGAATTTCAGAGAGTTGTGGTTGATGGCACTTAACCTATTCTTACCAGGAGAGGTAGCGGTTGCGGGAATCTGAGGTGAACTTCCTCCTTCCTAAAGAATGCCACTGAGGCCCTTATGCTAAGAAATAAATCAAATAATTAAAATATTGGGTAAGTGGTTTTGAGCCTGGCTGATTGAGCCAGAGAGTGATGCAACAACCTACTTGAAAAGAGAGCAGTTCTTACTCCTTCTGCCATGAGCTAAAGAGGTCTTTGGATTGTCAACTCTTGGGCTGACCTGACCTGTATGACGGGTGTGCCACTCATCGTTCTGGTTAAACCTCTTGAGATAAAGACGCCATCTTCTAAGTGCGGGAACGTCTGAGTGCACTCGAGCGTTGAGCAAGCGAAGTTTTTGTTTTAAGAACAAGGTATTGCTGTAAAAGAAGGCTTTCTCTGAGAACTTACTTGGACTGTACATTTGAAGCAGTGTTATACCACTTTGAATGATATCCCCCCAAGAATCCAAGTTAGTGTGATTTGTTAAAGTTGCTGAGAGTTGCTTGTTGCTGTTTAGTCATTTAGTCGTGTCCCACTCTTCGTGACCCCATGGACCAGAGCACGCCAGGCACTCCTGTCTTCCACTGCTTCCCACAGTTTGGTCAAACTCATGTTTGTAGCTTCAAGAACACTGTCCAACCATCTCATCCTCTGTCGTCCCCTTCTCCTTGTGCCCTCCATCTTTCCCAACATCAGGGTCTTTTCCAGGGAGTCTTCTCTTCTCATGAGGTGGCCAAAGTATTGGAGCCTCAGCTTCAGGATCTGTCCTTCCAGTGAGCACTCAGGGCTGATTTCCTTCAGAATGGATACGTTTTGATCTTCTTGCAGTCCATGGGACTCTCAAGAGTCTCCTCCAGCACCAGAATTCAAAAGCAGAAATTCTTTGCCGATCAGCCTTCTTTATGGTCCAGCTCTCACTTCCATACATCACTAGAAAGTTGCTTGGTGAACCACTATTCCCCTCCCAAAGCCACAGTTCTCAGTGCGTTGCAATTGTCAATCCTTCTTTCCCAAAGAACTCTGGAATTGCAGTTCCGAGAGTGGAACAGGGGTTCTCCCAATGACTCTCAGCACCCTTAACAAACTAGTTCCTAGGATTCTTTTGGGGAGGGTATCTAGTTGGCTTCTGCGGATGTTTTTATTAACGGTACAGTGGAGCTCTCTGGGTTGTAATTCGGCGCAGCTTATTTTTTTTCAATTTGTGAATCTTTAGTGGAGAGAGATCTTTGCGGTCCCTTCTCCAGAGTTGGATTTTGCATATACAGTCTAAGTGTATATTAGGGTTGCTGTACGTCTGGACATACCGAGACATTTCCAGAACATGCTTGGAATAATGCTGTCGGAAGCAGTGTCCGGGCAGAAATTGGCAAAAATGTCCTGGAAAATCTGGACGTATGGCAACGCATGTCGGCAGTGTAGTTTTTGGTGATTTTATTTTTAAAAAAGCTCCAAAAGGTCCACTTTTTGTGATTTTGCTCAAAAAGTTCAACAACAAAACTAAAAAAAGCTCAATAACTTTGCCCCCACCCCATAACCTGTGTGTCTGGATTTTCACTAATTGAAATACGGCAACCCTAGCATATATTCCCCTTTTTAAAAAAGTACTGTGAAATAACTGGAAGACTGATAGGTTTGTTTCTGCCTTTAAGAAGCCTTCTGGGAAGCTGTGTTTGTTGCTACAGACGAGCCTTTTAAACTTATCTCTTCCTATGTTGAAAGGAAGGAGCCACAAAGACTGCAAGTCTATGTATGCATGTCTCTATTACAAATCAGTTCTGATGCATTTAATAGGGTTTAGTTTCTGGGAACTGACGTTGTTTTTAAGTGCTGTGATGTCCAAGCTAGCTAGGCAAAAGAGGAAGCATTTGCACTTTTAATAGTATGACAAGTTAATATCACGAACTACATCACATGAGTCTGCCTCATCATGTTCCTTATTGTTCGGCTTGGCGTGCAGAATTTCCAAGCAAATTTGTCCTCTTAATATTTTGTATTTGAGTATGTTTGTCTTTGTTTGTGTTGTATACACTCCACTATATCCTGCCAAGTTTTTTTTAGGTCAGGTAACCAGAACTAGGGATGCGGGTGGTGCTGTGGGTTAAACCACAGAGCCTAGGACTTGCCGATCAGAAGGTCGGCGGTTCGAATCCCTGCGACAGGGTGAGCTCCCGTTGCTTGGTCCCTGCTCATGCCAACCTAGCGGTTCGAAAGCACGTCAAAGTGCAAGTAGATAAATAGGTACCGCTCTAGCGCATAGCTGTCAAGTGTCCCTTATTTGAAGGGACAGTCCCTTATTCCAGCGCCATGTCCCGCTGCTGTCCCTTATTGATGGATGTCCCTTAAATGTCCCTTAAATGATGTCCCTTAAATTTCAAAGGAAGCAGCTCCTCTCCCTCCCTCCCTGCCGGCCAGGGAGGAGGGAGGCTCCAACTGTGTTGCTTGGCTGTGTTGCTCACCCAATAAGAAGTCTAAGAACGACTGGGGGTGGAGCTTGCATGCCTTGTGTGTGGCTAGTTAATGCAAGCTGAGGGGTTTTTTGAATGCTGGACGCCATTTTGTTGCATGTGCTGCTGCAAACTTTGCAGTGCAAAGCTAGGCTGGGGAGCCATCTTATGTTGAGGCTGCATAGGCCTTGTGGTGCATGTGATTCAGATTCTATTCAGTTGAACCTCTGGTTACAAAGTTGGTTGGACAGTGTTCTCGAAGCTACCAGCATGAGTTTGACCAGACTGCAGGAGGACAGGAAGAATGGAGTGCCTGGAACAGGTGAGGCCGCAGGTCCCTTATTTTGGCTGCTGGTCCCTTATTTTCAAGGCTGCTGGTCCCTTATTTTCAAATCTGTAAGTTGGCAGCTATGCTCTAGCGGGAAGGTAAACAGTGTTTCCGTGTGCTGCTCTGGTTCGCCAGAAGCGGCTTACTCATGCCGGCCACATGACCCGGAAGCTGTACACCGGCTCCCTCGGCCAATAAAGCGAGATGAGCGCCGCAACCCCAGAGTCTGCCATGACTGGACCTAATGGTCATGGGTCCCTTTACCTTTACCTTTAACCAGAACTAACAAATGAGAACTCTTGCTCAGGGGTCAGTAAACTTTTCCAGCAGAGGGCCGGTCCACTGTCCCTCAGACCTTGTGGGGGGCCCGGATTATATTTTGGAAAGGAAAAAAAAAGAACAAATTCCTATGCCCCACAAATAACCCAGAGATGCATTTTAAATAAAAGGACACATTCTACTCATGTAAAAACAGGCTGATTCCCGGACAGTCTGTGGGCCTCCGGGCCTTAGTTTCCCTACCCATGCTCTTGCTGGTGCGGTGCAATGGTTGAATTGCAAGTGTTTTCACCGTTGTGTTGATGTGTCAGATGCAATCACACACAACTGGAAAGCTAACCGTTGCTTGTCCGCAGCAAATTTCCTATCAGCCCCAGTCAGCACAACTCTACTGGTTGGGGCTTATGTGAGTTGCAGTCCAAACTTTCCAAAGGGCACCAGGTTGGTGAAGTCTGTTATAGAATCTGCCTTTCCTTTCAACTAGAGGCTTTCTCTGTAGGAAGGAACATTTTTCAGAAGGAAGTTTTCCATGACCGCTGTAAATCAACCGCCTTTTCAGAACAAAATGTATTTTTAAATCAGAAGCATGACAAATGTCGGTCTTATGCCTGATGGACTTAATTTAAGGCCAAGCACATGGTTAGAATTATACTGAGAGCAAATAAGACTGTTGACCGCTGACAGATGATTAGTTGGCGTCTTTGTTCCAAAGATGAGCTCATAGTTTCCCTAGAAGACCTATAATGTTCGTTCAGGCCTGGCCCTATCATTTGGCAACGTGAGACTATGTCCTCGGGTAACAGATGCGGCAGAAAGGGTCAGCCTCCTGGTTGTACTGTTTGGTTGGGGATCAAAGCTTATCTAACACCAAGTTCCCCTGCTGGTCTTCGTCAGGACTCAGAGCAAAGCAACATCAGAACCTGGAGACACACTACTGGTTGACCACTGTGAGAACAGGGTGATGGACCTTTGGTCTGATTCAGCAGGGATGTTCTTAAGTTAACTCTGAAAATGGTGTATCAATGGTACTTAATTCCAGTAAAATTGGCTAAAATTTATAAATTAAAATCAAATACCTGTGTTGGAGATGCAAGAAAGAAATAGGAACAATGTTTCACATGTGGTGGGAATGCCGACCTATTAAACAATTTTGGAATGAAATATATGAAGGAATCAAAAAGATGTTTAAAATATCTTTTAGTAAAAAACCGGAGGCATTCCTTTTAGGTATAATCACAAACGATACTCCTGACAATCAAAGGAAAGTATTCCTCTATGCGACAACAGCTGCCAGGATGCTCATAGCAAAATATTGGAAAGGGAGAAAAATTCCATCAATGAAACAATGGCAAATTAAATTTTGTGAATATATAAATCTGGCAAGACTCACAGAATTCATAAGGGGACAATCGGACCAAAAATTATTAAAAGAATGGGGATGTGCTAAAGAGTATATGAAAAAACATTGTTCTGGAGTAAGCATATCGGTATGTAATGAATGATGCTTTGCAGGGTTAAAGAAAGAAAAAAATGGTGTTAAAAGTATAAAGCTAGAAGTAATCTACATTAGACACATCAACTTAGAAAGAGTAAAAATTTTGAGGTCTTAGAACAAAGGAAAGAAGTCAATTTGTGTATATGTATGTAATGACTAGATTAGAATGTTGATATGGTTTTATTTGTAGATGTGTGTTTTTGTTTTTTGTTGTTCTTTTTTCTTTTGTGTTCTGTTTTTTTTTCTTGTTTGTACTGTTTTATTTCGGATTCAATGTTTGTAATTTTTGTTGTAATTTTGCATTGAGAATAAAAAATATATGGTAATAAAAAAATTAATTCTGAATTGTAGTAGGCAAGTTGTCTCGCAGCAATATGGAAACTAGGTCAAATCCTGTGGCTAGATTCAGCACAGACCAGTCTTGGAAGGAGTCATTCGGGTTCACTGGGAACCGGGTGGAGGAAGTCATAGTAGTTTAAACTGGTTTATCTGATACCATTTTGAAACAACATTTTGCTTTATATTAAGGCTGCAGCAGCTGGACTTTCTTATGTTGGCGCATACGTCCTCAACACCTACAAGGAATATGACCCTTTCCTCCAGGATAAATACCCTCTCCTGCCGGCTGTCATCATCATTTGTGTTGCTGTGGTGATGTTCGTTATCGGCCTCATTGGCTGCTGTGCTACAATCCGTGAATCCAAGATTGGGTTGGGAGTGGTAAGTAAGGAGTGCGTCACTGAAAATGCCTTCTGTAGCAATTCCATAGTGCCAGAGAGAGGGAATCAGGGAGGACAAGGGCTTGTCCACACTTCCACTTTTCCACGGGGCCGAATGGTTTTCTGTTTGCTCCACTGCTTTTCCCGGACAAACCTGCTCTTTAGAGCTTAATCGGAGCAACTGTCAATCCGCTGAAAACCTGATTGATGCTTATTCCGATTCAGTGGTAAATATCAGGTTTTCCTGGGAGAAAGCAGCAGGACAACTGAAAGCCTGAATGAGCCCCAAGTGTCTGTCCACACGCTTCCAGACAAGTCACTTGCCCTATGGCTTACCTTCCAGTTGCTGGGGCCATGTACCATATTTTTTGCTCCATAAGACACACTTTTCCCCTCCTAAAAAGTAAGGGGAAATGTGTGTGCGTCTTATGGAGCGAATGCAGGCGGGAGGCTCTGCTTAGTGCTCCCTTTAAAGAGCCGCGTGGAGCATGCATAGAAAAGCCCCCAAGAGTGTGTGCACTCTTTAAAGGGAGTGCGGCTCTTGGGGGAGCCTTTATTCCCCTGTCCGGGAGAGTCTTCGCGCGGCTATCCCAGAAGCCAGAACAGCAAGAGGCTATCCAAGAAGCCAGATCCCTCTTGCTGTTCTGGCTTCTGGGATTCAGAATATTTTTTTTCTTGTTTTCCTCCTCCAAAAACTAGGTGCGTCTTATTGTCTGGTGTGTTTTATGGAGCGAAAAATACGGAGGTTTCTTGAAGGAAAGGTCATTACCATGTAAAATTTGTGGCTGGAGATCTCTTAAGCATGCCCACTTGAGACTGAATTCCGTCATGACTAAGAAGACTTCAGAAGAGGATGGGAGCATTAATGTGAACTACACCACGTGACAGCTCTTCAGATATTTGTAGATGGCTATCATATCTGTGATTCTCCAGTGGTTTGGCTTCACTCCGTTGTTTCTCGAGACAGACGGATGCCAACCAATCAACCAATATCATATCACTTCTCAGTCTCCTCTTCTCCAGAGTAAACATACCCAGCTCCCTCAACCGTTCCTCATAAGCCTTGGTTTCTGGACCCTTTCTCATTGTGCTTATCATCCTCTGCACGTGTTCTAGCTTGTCAATATCCTTCTTAAATTGCGGTGACCAGAATTGGACACAGGACTCTAGGTGATGCTAGGCAACAGGTCTCTCTCATCCCCACCCCTCACACAAGGCTTCTTCACCCCAGCCTGTCATCTTAGATGTCTACAACACCTGTACACCAGCCTCTTCCTAACTAATTCTTCTTTTCCTCCAGTTCCTGATCATTATCCTGTTGGTCTTCATTGCTGAAGTGGCAGCTTTTGTCCTTGGATTCATTTACAAAGGACAGGTGGGTAAAAACAGACGTATGTACTCTGTACCAATGATGAGGGCGGGCGGGCGAGGTGGGTGGTGGAAATGCAATTATGAATTTCTCTCATTCTATGAAGACTGGGAGGCTCAACCACCTTTCCATTTACCCCTCCACTTTCCCCCAGGAAAACCTACAGTTTAGTGCTGAATCGGAACAAACAGCAATCAGGTTTTCCATGAATTGCCATTTGTTGCAATTTAGCACTAAAGAGCAGGTTTTCCAGGGGAAAGCAGTGGCTCAAAGAAATAACTGCTCAGACCCATGCTTTCTAGGCTTGGGACAACTGGGAGTGTGGATGAGCTTTGGGCCAGAGCGGTGGTTAACCATACCAACCCAGAGCCAATTTCACAGCATACATTCAAAGCGCTACGATGCAACTTTAAGCAGTCATGGCTGCACCCCAAAGAATTGTGGGAGTTGCAGTTTGTTAGGGTAAGCCTATTCCCCTCAAAGGTGACGCTGTGGTCTAAACCACTGAGCCTCTTGGGCTTGCTGATGGGAGGTCGGCAGTTCAAATCCACGTGCTGGGGTGAGCTCCCGTTGCTCTGTTCCAGGCATAGGCAAACTCCGGCCCTCCAGATGTTTGGGACTACAATTCCCATCATCCCTAGCTAACAGGACCAGTGGTCAGGGATGATGGGAATTGTAGTCCCAAACATCTGGAGAGCCAGAGTTTGCATAGGCCTGCTCTGTCCCAACCTGCAAAAGCTGTATGCAGACAAACGCCGGCTCCCTTGGACTGAAAGCAAGATGAGCGCTGCAACCCCATAGTCAAATTTGACAGGACTTAACTGTCCAGGGGTCCTTTACCTTTACTTTTACTTATTCCCCTCACAGAGCTACAATTCCCAGAGTTTCCTGTGAAGAGGGATTGGTTGTTAAATCACTCTGGAAATGGTTTTTAAAAATGCAAATATCATCACTTGGGAAGGGAGTCTGTGCTGGGAACTGCTGGGTCCACAAGGAAGGCAGAATAAGGCATTGAACCCTTTTCTTTATTGTTGGCGATTGCCATTTCAGAAAGAGAAATCACAAAGGAGGAATTTCCTCCCAATACAAATACAACTTCAGAGGAGAGGCTTTCCTCAGCTGAGGGGCTGCAATGATCTTCTCTGTTTTTTGCAGTTGAGGGGCTTTCCGTTCTTGAACAAAACCCTCACATTTCTGTCTTCCTACAGGTAAAAACAGATTTGCATGAACCAATGGTGCAATCATTCAAGAACTATGACGGGAAAACGGAAGAGTCTCACATCATAGATTACTTACAGCAAGAGGTTGGGAAACTTTATGTTCTGTTTAAAATTATCGTCACAAACTTCCTCCTCTGGTTGAAAATCCTGTTATTAGTCCTAGAACTATGAATGTTGGCTCATCTTGCATACTTTATCCTGTTTGCAGTTTCCTTCCAGTTTTCCCCCTCCCCCCCCCTTTTAAAGAAATAACTACAGGAAAAATATCTAGTGGGCTGTTCCAGATACAGTGGTACCTTGGGTTAAATACTTAATTCGTTCCGGAGGTCTGTTCTTAACCTGAAACTGTTCTTAACCTGAAGACCACTTTAGCTAATGGGGCCTCCCGCTGCCACCGCGCCGCCAGAGCACGATTTCTGTTCTCATCCTGAAGCAAAGTTCTTAACCCGAGGTACTATTTCTGGGTTAGCGGAGTCTGTAAGCTGAAGCGTCTGTAACCTGAAGCGTATGTAACCTGAGGTACCGCTGTAATCTGTTTCAGGAGTTTGTTTTTTTTAGTGTGCAGTTGGACAAGGGATGCTTTGCTTTGTGAATTTCTTTAAGGTTCCCTTCCATTCTGCCAATATTTTGCAGGAAGGATTCAATCACACAATGGCGAATGTAGGTTTGCACAGTCAGCTTGAATTAACACAGTCTTGGGCACTAAAGCCACTTAAAAACATATATAGATTTTTTTTGCAGTAAGGAAAATTGATAAGCAAATGCACTGAAAAGTGTGGTATAATAACCGATTGACAGGCAGTCATAAATCACCTCTGTGCAAACAAATAAGAATGTGTTCAAATCAGAGTGGATATTCAGTAAAGAGCAGGAGTCATATAACCACCTCACAGACGTTGTGCAAACATATCAGGATGCTGGATGAACAAGGCTTCTGGAGGCACACATTCACCCCAAATGTAGTTGTTTCGCAAAATTAAATTAAGCCATTTCCTGATCTTGTGCAATCCATTCTTATTTCAAAAGGCTCATGTTCTACTTACTAAGTGTAAAAAACAATGATTCAATACAGAAGCGAAACCTATTTCAGAGATCATATTCCCCTTAAATCTATCCCACATTCTCATTAAGCCTGAACGTTGCAGCTTTTAAAAACAATGGACCGGTCAGCTTCTTAAGTCACACAAACATTTTGCAGACAGAGGAATTATGTCCAGGAAATGTTTGCTCAATGTGATAGCAGATGTGCTTTTCCACTGGTATAAACCAACTGGCTAAATTCCATAATTGTGATACATAATCGTCTATTTACTGCAATTGCTTTTGCCGAGTTTCTTTTAGCTGGAGCCTCTTTCATTATTCTTTCGATTCTTGCATCAGTTGCGTATACACTGGTACCTCTGGTTATGAACTTAATTTGTTCCAGAGCTCTGTTCTTAACCTGAAACTGTTCTTAACCTGAGGTACCACTTTAGCTAATGGGGTCTCCCACTGCCGCCACGCTGCCTGTGAAAACACGATTTCTGTTTTCATCCTGAAGCAAATTTCTTAACCCGAGGTACTATTTCCGGGTTAGCAGAGTCTGTAACCCAAAGTGTTTGTAACCCGAGGTACCACTGTATTCTCTCTGTGTATTGCAGAGTGGTCCTTGCGCAAGTGTAAGGGCTAGCCGCTTGTGCCTCCTTGTATCAGAACTTAGACGTCTTGTATTAGTAACACAATTGTGTCAAAATAGACTCCCTGCAGCCTCTGATTATGCATTTCAAAAATGTACCATATTTTTCGCTCTATAAGACGCACCAGACCACAAGACGCACCTAGTTTTAGGAGGAGGAAAACAAGAAAAAAAATATTCTGAATCTCAGAAGCCAGAACAGCAAGAGGGATCACTGCGCATTGAAAGCAGCAATCCCTCTTGCTGTTCTGGCTTCTGGGATAGCTGCGCAGCCTGCATTCACCCCTTAAGATGCACACACATTTCCCCTTACTTTTTAGGAGGGAAAAAGTGAGTCTTATAGAGCAAAAAATACAGTAATTACGGTGTTTTCATGAGGCTCAGTACATTTTTTAAAGATGGCTCAAACAAGGCAACAGTTCTTTTTTTGTTTAAAGATTTGTAACACACACTTTTGAGATCTCATACATTCTTGAAAGTGACACACACCCTGTTTACTTTCATTCACGATTTCAATCTTTGCAGCTTCAGTGTTGCGGAGTCGACAACTACACCGACTGGATTGGTAGCCAATGGTTCAACGCCACCGGCAACCACAGTGTTCCTGTAAGCTGCTGCAAGCGAGACGTCAGTAAGAAAAACTGCACAGGGCAGCTGAGTGACCTGAAGTTTCTCAATACACAAGTAAGGGCATGTTGCATTCAGGACTTGCATGGGAATAACAGAATTGCTGGGGACCTGGAACCAAAGGCTGGTGCAATCCATCTCTTAAGATGATTGCAAGGTGTAAATAAAGCAGCAAGATTTTGAAAATCCTAACATTCGGGATTTCTGGCTACCCTTCAGATCAGTTCTGGCAGAGATTCCACACTGGCTAACAAAAATAATGACACTTTATCCAGCCATCAGTTCTTTCCTGTTTTGTTTTTGTGGCAGTGGTGTAAACTGCTGATATCTGCAACTGTAACGGATGGGGGAGACATTCAATTCTGTTAGCATTTTGATGGGAAACAGCATAACTTGTCCTTCCCAAACCAAAGCAGGAACAAAAACATCACCACCTTTGAAATTCGACCTTGTCCAAATTTTGCAGTGCAGTTCTCAAACCCAAACGACGTGTACAAACGTGTACATGTTCGTGAAGATAGCATACAAAACGCACCGAAGTTGGGGAAATTGCATACCCTCCAAAAATGTGTTTATTAGGAGGAAAATTACACTGGAAAGGTGAAAAACTTTCAAGGGGTGATTTTTTTTTAAAATTGCAATTTGCTTAAGAAATTGTGTGAACTGAATTTAAGGTGGGGAAATTGAGAGGGCCAAAATAGATTTCTCTTTCCTTAATGGCCATTCTCTCTCTCTCTTTCTCTCCCCTACATCTGCAAATTCTCCCTGCAGGGCTGTGAGGAGAAGGTGGAGTCTATTTTGCAGAGTGTCCTCAACTACGCTATGCTTGTCATCCTAGGATTTGCCATTGTGAAGGTATTTATACTCTGACCTTGACACGAATGCCCCAGAGCAGAAAGGTACACAGTCTGAACCATAAATTAAACAACAAGTTTCAAAACAGCATTAAATCAAAACAAAGGATTCAGGCTACCGTGCAAGTTTTTCAGTGCTAGGTGGAAACCTTCCAATTTGCCCTGGGCATTTTATACTTCAGGTGATGTTTAAAAATTCTGTTTTATCCTGCCTTTAGCTTCTTTTGATTTTTTTGTTTGGTTCAGTTTTGTGTTGCTACTGCCTTCGTGTTCAGAATGTGACCTTTCTGGTAATATCATAGAATTGTAAAGTTGGAAGAGTCCCCAGGAAGGGCAGTTGCTGGTTCGTGGTGAGGGAATGAACTAGGTGAAACTTTGTGGCCTGATCCATCAGGGCCTTAAGTTTTGATTCCCTCTGAATCCTTGGTTTGCTTAGCCTTTGCCTTGCCATTATCCAGTATGTTTCTGAAAGCATAATCAAACAACATTGCCACCTGTAGGCAAGCAAAATTTAGTGCTTCCCAATTGCCTGTAGTGCTCCTTTAAAGAAACTAGAATCTGACAGGTGTTCTAATGGCACTGGGACAGTGTTTTTATTTCATGTTCATAGTTAGCCTATACAGTGGTACCTTGGTTCTCCAACGTAATCCTTTCTGGGAGTCCGTTCGACTTCCGAAACGTTCAAAAACCAAGGCGCGGCTCTGATTGGCTGCAGGAGCTTCCAGCACTCAAGCAGAAGTTGTGTTGGACGTCCCACTTCCAAAAAACATTCGAAAACCAGAACACTTACTTCCGGGTTTGTGGCGTTCGGGAGCCGATTTGTTCATCAACTAAGCCATTTGAGAACCAAGGTTCCACTGTATACCCTTTCGTATTTCAGCAGAAATCTCTCAGCGGCGTATGAATCCCAATGAAAAGGAATAAATAAAAGCAATCTGTGCAAATTTCGCATTTGAAACCAAGCAAAACAACAAAGAACCACAAATGCAAATATACAAGACATCAGGATATATCAAGATATATCAAAATGCGACATAATAATGTTATAAGCATTTCATAAATGTTACAGGAAAGATAGAGGGTATGATACATAGAATCATAGCACTGCAGAGTTGGAAGGGACCACGAAGATCATCTAGTCCAAGCCTCTGCAATGCAGGAATCCTTTACCCAACGTAGGACTTGAACCCATGACCTTAAAATTAAGAGTCTCATGCTCTACCAGCTGAGCTACCCATCTAATGAGTCCCATCCATGGAAGCCTTGCACAAGGACTTCCACTTCCACAATGGGGCTTCCACCCTCTCCCCTGCCCTGCCCCCCACCTGTGCCCCTGATATTGGCTCTGTGGGGGTCAGAAGAACCCCCAGAACAACATGTGGGGCACAGAGAAGAAGGGAAATTGTTTCATCTGGCGAGCTGAAATGCTTGACAAAGTGCAACGTTGAATTCCTCCCATGATGCCATTTCCAAAATCTGCACATTCCCAGAACTCAAAACTAATCCAAGTACATAACCCCCAAATACACCCAACTATCTCCTTACGTGGGTGGCATTGTGGGTTAAACCACAGAGCCTAGGGCTTGCTGATCAGAAGGTCGGCAGTTCGAATCCCTGCGACGGGGTGAGCTCCCGTTGCTCGGTCCCTGCTCCTGCCAACCTAGCAGTTTGAAAGCACGTCAAAGTGCAAGTAGATAAATAGGTACCGCTCCAGCGGGAAGGTAAACAGCGTTTCTGTGCGCTGCTCTGGTTCGCCAGAAGCAGCTTAGTCATACTGGCCACATTACCCGGAAGCTGTCTGTGGACAGACGCCGGCTCCCTCAGCCAATAAAGCGAGATGAGCGCCGCAACCCCAGAGTCGGTCATGACTGGACCTAATGGTCAGGGGTCCCTTTACCCTTTACCCTTACCTCCTTACAGCCACTAAATCATTCCATCCATTTAAGTTTAAATAGATTACAAAAGGGGGCCTTAATATGGGCAGTGGGGTGGGGATTCAACTTTCAAACTCTTTAAGCGCCATGAACATTGCTGGTTCTATTTAAAATAATAACAATAACCTTCTCGTTTCAGTTCTTTGGAATGCTTAGTGTCTGCGTGCTGACCTGCAAAAGAGAACAGCACAACGGTTACCATCCTTTGTCGGGGACGTTCGCTTGACCGGAAGATGGAGAGTGACCCTTCGTTGTGGTCTTCCAAGATAAAACGGACTTGGGAAAGATGCTCTGAGCAGAAAATGTTTTGCCTGCTTTTGTAAAATGCTGAATCCTTATCTCGGTGAACAGAAAGGAGATTCCTTTCAAAGCTTGTTATTAAATGTGACCTGACTTGGATTTAACATAGCTACTGGTGATTCCACTTGAGAATCTTTGACGTACTTCAGGTGTGGGAAATTTGTGTCCAGATGTTTCTGAACTACAACGCCCTGTGGAACGCCCTCCTACTAGATGTCAAAGAAACAAACAACTATCTGACTTTTAGAAGACATCTGAAGGCAGCCCTGTTTAGGGAAGCTTTTAATATTTGATGAATTAATTGTATTTTAATATTTTGCTGGGGTGGCTGGGGGAATCAGCCAGATGGGTGGGATATAAATAATAAATTATTATTAAATTATGTTATTATCACCCCTGGCTATTGGCCATGCAGTTGTAGTTCACCGACATCTGCAGGGGCAGAGGTTCCCCACACCTGATGTAGTTGAACTGAAGTGACTCCCTTTCCTTACAACAGCATATGAAGCCTTAAACCTTAAAAGGTAGCCCAGCAGGTACCATTCTGACGTTTCACAGGTGAATGTGGTTCTCCCCTCCTCCACAAACCTTGTTAGATTTATTAACATAAATTATTTTTTCAAACTATTAAAGGACTCGGTGTATTTTCCCTTGCCTGCTGGGTGTTCTGAATGCAGGAGAAGGTTTTCAGCATTCAGCAGTGAAAGACAGTCAGAGAGGAATCTTGTCTCACTTCTTTGAACGTGAGCACAGCAAAATAACAGATAGATTTTAGGTGAGTGTTGCCATTTGCAGGTGGAGCTTTTGGACAGCTGGAAATTTCACCTGGGACTATCAGCATTCAGATGTGAATGTCAACATGGTACCACCATTCCCTAGACTCTTAAGCATGGAGGGATGAAACTTTTGCATGTTGTGCTCACAGCTAAACAGCTACTGATGTCAGCTTTGATAATCTAATTCACACCAACACCAGCTTTTCACACAAGATGAAGCGACCAACAGTATAAAACCTGATAGCACTAGACGGAGTCTGGATTAAGGCTGTGTGATCCTGAGATCCATGCTTAGTAACTTGCCTTGTTGACGTTTGCACTGAATCAATCCCATGCCATATCTCAAAGCACCAGAATGCATATGAAATCTCCTGGCTGGACTGGGAGCGTTATGTCGGGTGGTGCAACTCTGTACACACTGCAATTCAATGTGGGGATTTGTTAAGCGTTTTGTGCTCCTTAACTTTAGGAGTGATTGGAACACACCTGAATCCTACATCTTTAGAGAGTGCGCTGAGAAACCATTCCAAACAAATACGATTTGAACAGCCACTTGCAAGTGTATCATAGTGAAGATATGGTGCTGGCTTTACTTACGCTGTGCACTGTTTTACTTGCTTCTGGTATCACATTTATTTAATACATATAGTGTCCTTTGCACTTTTGTGAACAGTGGAACAACTTAGGCATCGTACGTACTGTTGAAAAATAAAATGACACTTTCTTTTTCCAAACACCTTTGCTTTAGTTTCTTGAGGGCTTCAGGAATATTTGGAATATAGATAAATTAAGTTCCTTTTTAACCCCAAATAAATAAATAAAGGTTAATTACATGATGTTTTATTTTAAAGAGAATGAAATGGCTGGATGGGAGAGAAATCGTATTCAGAGAGAAGCAAGAGACCTGCTTCACCTGTCACATTAAGCAAAATTATAGCTTTCCGGAACCATGCAAATGCGCTGGCTCTGAGAGACAAGCTGACACACACTTAGTTCCTTCCCAGTCCTTTTGCCATGGCACTGTGGGGCAGGCAGATAAGCCAAGATTTGACCTGACATGCAACTGGGACCACTGGGATCACGGTTAATCTCTCTCCTTAACCACAATCTGCAGCTAGGGACAAACAGTTCATGAGGGGGGTTAGGACCCTCTACTCCCCTCGGAGAGCTACAATTCTCAGAGCGGTTTAGCAATCAATGCCTTTCCCCAGTTGATTCTGGAAACTGTAGCTCTCTGAAGGGAACACAGGTGGCCTAAATCTTATCCGCACCCTTAACAAACTACAATTCCCAGGCTTTGGGGTGGGAGTGGGGCAGAAAAAGCCATGACTTTAAAATCACATCTGAAGAAGTGTGCATGCACATGAAAGCTCATACCAATAACAAACTTAGTTGGTCTCTAAGGTGCTACTGGAAGGGATTTATTTTGTTTCATCTACGGCAGACCAACACAGCTACCTAACTGTAATTAAAATCACATGATACTGTTTTAAATGTCTATTTACAGTAAAAAGATAAGGACATTGGCAGGATTATTGTAATAATCTGTGGTTTCATAACAGTGTATATTTAAAGTAGATTACTAAAAGAATAAGTCATGTTAATTTAGAATATGCAGGAAATGTAAAAAATAAATTTAAGGAACCTCAGAAAGAGGAAGGAAGCAGAGTTTTGCAATGTTAGAATGACTGTAAACCTATTGAATTATATGTAACTGAAAATCACAAATATAAAATAAAACAAGATACTGTTTTAAATATCTAGTGCAGATCACTCTGATCTAGACTGGATTTGTGGCACTGAGGTAAGACCCCTTTCTCTACGTTGTTTCCCCAAATGGGGTCACTTCGAAAGCAATAAAAATGTTTCCACGTTGAGGGAGCGAGAAACAGGGTGCGGTGCTGCTAAATGATTCCAAAGGATAAATTCCTAGATTTCTTCTGTGAGCAGCTGCCCCCCATTGCCACTCAATAAGAGATTAGTGGGGGCTTCAAACATAACTCGGAAATTGCACCTGCAAACATCAAGCTAGACCCTTTTGACGTCAGTGGCTCTGCCTCCTTATATCCTTAGGCGGGGGTGTACTTTCAATGGAGTTGGTCTGCTCTCTCTCCTCCGTAGAGATACATTAATGACGCATACCTTCACTTCTGGTTCTTAGCCACGCGTCGCCAGAACGCAAGACAAGGAACCTTAGAAAAATCAATAGGAGTGACACACAGCCAGCATTTCTGGTGAAAATGGAACATCGCCGTTATCCGTTGATTCTGTACAAAGACTAATATTTCTCTGTGGGCGAGTCTAGCACTTAATAATAATAATAATAATAATAATAATAATTTATTATTTATACCCCACCCATCTGGCTGGGTTTCCCCAGCCACTCTGGGCGGCTTCCAACCGAATATTAAAAACAATACAGCATCAAACATTCAAAACTTCCCTAAACAGGGCTGCCTTCAGTTGTCTTTTAAAAGTAAAATACAGTGGTACCTTGGGTTACAGATGCTTCAGGTTACAGATGCTTCAGGTTACAGACTCTGCTAACCCAGAAATAGTACCTCGGGTTAAGAACTTTGCTTCAGGATGAGAACAGAAATTGCGTGGTGGTGGCAGCAGGAAGCCCCATTACCTAAAGTGGTACCTCAGGTAAAGAACAGTTTCAGGTTAAGAACGGACCTCCAAATTAAGTTCTTAACCTGATGTACCACTGTAGTTGTTTATTGCCTTGACATCTGCTGGGAGGGCGTTCCACAGGGCAGGTGCCACTACCGAAAAGGCCCTTTGCCTGGTTCCCTGTAACCTCACTTCTCGCAGGGAGGGAACTGCAAAAAGGCCCTCGGAGCTGGACCTCAGTGTCGGGGCAGAATGATGGGATGGAGACGCTCCTTCAGGTATACTGGACCAAGGCCGTTTAGGGCTTTCAAGGTCAGCACCAACACTTTGAATTGTGCTTGGAAACGTACTGGGAGCCAATGAAGATCTTTCAGGACCGGTGTCAGCACTTGACATCCCTGGAATGTCAATATACCTGAAAGTGTCAACAAGTACTGTCTTGCAATTCTTACAGCAGAAAAAGATGTGAGATGGGTCTTATCTCTATAACTTGTATCTCTATTGCATTCTGTCATTAAATCTATGGTTGCTAGGATTTTAAGGTTAGAGTAGCCAATGGATAGAGGGACCTCACTCTGAAACCCATAGATTTACCATGTAGAAGATGATCAGCAAAGGTTATTTATGATAGGACTTCCTGATGGCTTTTGACTCATTATGTATATAGTCTCTATTGCTGCTATAATAATTGGGAATTAATTCAGGTCTTTTCAACAGTCGCAATGTGCAACCCTCTCCCGCACCTCCAAACTCCCCTAAGAACAAATAAATAGGCGCAGAGGTCGAAGCAGGGGCAGAAAACGGGCTGGAGACATCAGTGACACGTTCCAGATTCTTGATGCGATAGAAATAATAGCAAGCCTATACAAATGAAAACGCCATTCACACGGATATCCCTTATTTTCCGAGGTCCAGTTTACTGAACCTTAGTTCCTGAGGCTCTGCAACGGTCTCCTATTTATAAGATAATTCCAATGCAAATGAAAAGCAAAACTAATAGAAAAGCAACGTTGCGCAGCCAAGTATTCCTACTTAAAAAAATTAAAATACTAAAATGGATTCAAATCGCCTCGACTTTCTAAGGCTTGTTTTTCGCAGACGCCGCTGGGTCGCTAAACGGCCGAGTTCTCCAACAAAGCATGCAAACGACTAAAGGCGGGCATAAAACGCCCTGGTTGAAGCCGATTTAAATAATAACCGTTTTCCTTTTATGTGGCAGAGCACCTGTGAAGCTGGATTGCTGTTTAAATTAAAAAAGAAAAATACACACGCCAACCAGAACCGTGTACGACTCTACACTTCTTATCTCTATGCAATACGTCGCTCTACCGTAAGCTTCCTTAATGTGTCGCTCTAGCCTTACTTGTTTCCTTAAGCTCTATGGCGGAAAAAAGGTTCCCCCCTCCCGATTCGCTAGCGACACCTGCCCGCGAGACTTTACTTGTTCTCGCGAGAGGCGTGGTGCGTCCAGCTGATTGCGCGGGCGGTTTGAATCCAGAGAGCCTCTAGCGGCGCTGCGGGAAGGAGGGTCCTCGTCTTTGCTGCGGGCCTGGATATGGAGGGCAAGGCGGAGGCACTCCTGGAGTTCAGTGACGGTGAGGCAGCGGCTTAATGCGGGCAAAGGGGCCGGAGCTCAGTGGTAGGGCTGCTTTGCGTGCAGGATAGTCTTAGGTTCGAGCCCCAGCACCTTCAGGTAGGGCGGGGAGAATACATGGGTCTTTCCCGGAGGCCTGTTGCAAATGAACACATGCTTTACTTTATTTTGGATTGTTGTTGTTTAGTCGTTTCCGACTCTTTGTGACCCCATGGACCAGAGCACACCAGGCACTCCTGTCCTTCACTGCCCCCCGCAGTTTGGTCAAACTCATGCTGGTAGCTGCGAGAACACTGTCCAACCATCTCGTCCTCTGTCGTCCCCTTCTCCTTGTGCCCTCAATCTTTCCCAACATCAGGGTCTTTTCCAGTGAGTCTTCTCTTCTCATGAGGTGGCCAAAGTATTGGAGCCTCAGCTTCAGGCTCTGTCCTTCCAGGGAGCACTCAGGGCTGATTTCCTTCAGAATGGATCGGTTTGATCTTCTTGCAGTCCATGGGACTCTCAAGAGTCTCCTCCAGCACCAGAATTCAAAAGCATCGATTCCTAGGCGATCAGCTTCTTTATGGTCCAGCTCTCACTTCCATACATCACTACTGGGAAAACCATAGCTATTACTATACGGACCTTTGTTGGCAAGGTGATGTACAATACGATAATCTTTATTGTCATTGTCCCATACAGAACAACGAAATTGAAAAAATCTACATCAGACATTCAAAAACCAATTAGCCAGCTATCCCAGGCTGGTTAGCCCCCTAAAAACTCTGATACCCCATAATTAAATACAGTATGCTCACATAAGGACTACCTTACACTGCGTTTAAAACCAAAATCACATTTGGATAGAAACTGTTTCTCAGGCGGCTAGTCCTAGCCTTTATAACCCTGTACCTTCTTCCAGAAGGCAGAAGCTGAAAGAGATCATTTCCAGGGTGCGCACTATCCTGCACTATCTCTGCAGCTTTCTTATGGCACCTGGAAGCATAGATTTGATCCAAGGTGGGATAAAAAATTATCCAGCGCTTGTTTGGAAACAACAACAACCCACCCCTCAAAATCGATTGCAAAAAAACAAAATCAAGACAAATTCACAGCATGCAGGAGCTAAATCGCTCAACTTTTCTAAGCACCTGGGTTAGGCCTGTCTGAACAGGAATGTTCTTGGCAGCCGCCGAAAAGGGTATGACAAAGGATCATCATCTGCTTAGTCCTGTAATAGACAGTACTAGTAACACTATTAAAAAAGAGGAGAGCAGCAGGTCTCTCCCGCCACCCCTGCTAGCCAAGAAGACCTGGGAAGGCTGAATAGCTTCACCAAGAACGTGATCAGAATAAGTTACCTTATGCCAAGTCAGTCCATCTAGCTCATATAGCCCACACTGGTTGGCAGCCCCCTTTGGGTTTTCGCCTTTGGGAGCCCCCTTTGGGTTTTCGCCTTTGGGAGCCTTTCCCAGTTCTTACCAAGGGATGCCAGAGGTTCAGTTTGGGAACCTTTTGCATGCAAGGCATAGTGCCCTAACCACTGAGCCCAAATAATGGTACAGTGGTACTTCGGGTTAAGAACTTAATTCGTTCTGGAGGTCTGTTCTTAACATGAAACTGTTCTTAACCTGAGGTACCACTTTAGCTAATGGGGCCTCCTGCTGCCGCCGCACGATTTCTGTTCTCATCCTGAAGCAAAGTTCTTAACCTGAGGTACTATTTCTGTGTTAGTGGAGTCTGTAACCTGAAGCGTCTGTAATCCAAGGTACCACTGTATTATAATGCTTTAATTTAGGGAATGCAGTCAAGTTGTTTCTGATAACATGCTGATTTGCTTTAATGTTGTGTACCTTACAAGAAAGGTAGGGGGAGAATTGTCCTGCCTCCCCCCCCCCCCAATAAAAACTGCTAGCTGTTGTGGCCTTTAGAATTAACTATTACTCTTTTTTTTGTTTCAGAAAAATATAATTTGACTTCAGATTTTAACGACTTGTGTTCTCACATGAACACAAAGATTTCAAATATCAAAAAGTCACTTCAGCTGAGAAAAATAGGTAAGGTGGTTTAATGTTTCCTGGGCATAGGGGTTGACGGGCTGAGTTTGTGAGATGGATTCAGCAAAAGATGTATGAAAGTTTGAGATGCACGTGAGAGACATACTAACCCTCCTGAGCTGGACCAAGTCTCTTTCAAGCCTGGCATCCTCTGGGTTGGAACAATTGGTGTCTTTTGTATAAACACATGGAATGTGGTGTGCCAATTACATGGCTACAAAGTGAGCAGGGATGTTTCATGCCTGCATAATTTTGAGAACATTTTCCAAAGTCAGTTTTTCGTCTGTGGTTGTTTCCTATTACTCTGTGCAGGAGTTCTCACCGATCCAACTGTTTGGTTTTACAAGCATGTTTTCTGTGTCCTATGCCCTTTCTTAGCAAGATACAAAAGGAAGAAAAACATGCAGCTGTGTCTCAAAGCCTTTAACAATAGAGGTTGTGCCCTTGATCGCCGCTGTGCCTGCCCCTCTCCTGTGCTGCTGGAGTGCACATTTAGCCAGGCAATTTGTGGCTTTTTGGGGTCGTCGTCGTCATCTTTTTTTTTTAAGAAGGAGGGAAAAAGAACTGTGTTGCTGGGTGCCATCTCCTCCACAGCAAGGCTGTCCTCCACTTCATTTTGTAGGATGTTTGTTGTAGCCATAAGGTTGCATACCAGTTTGATGCTTTCAGCAGAAAGGATATATATAAACAGGGTTTCTACTAGGATTTGGAGCAGCTTTGGAATTTGAAGGCTCTGTGCAGACATCCGCAAGACATCTGGTTGGCCACTGGAACAGATGAGGCCTCTGACCTGATTCAGAAGGGCTCTCCTTAGGTCTTTATGGCTATTCTGAACTGACCTCCTGTTGGTAGGCCATATGCCCACTTAAATATTTGCTAAACTTTGAATAAGTTGTTAATTACTTAATTGTTAGCTTTATGCTGTAGGGATTTTTTTATTTTGTTGTGGTTGTTTAACCGGTGTCGTGTTTACGCTATTTCTTTTTTGTGAACCACTTCGAGCACAATGTTTGTAAGGAAAATGCTGTATATAAGCGGATTAAACTGATAAGAAGAAGCAACTTATAGATGTATTTGCCAGAGGCTGAAGTGAGGTTGGGGTACTCTTGGGAATCATAGCATTGTAGAGTTGGAGGGGGGGTCATCCGGTCTAACCCCCCTGCAAGGCAGAAATCTCAGCTAAAGTATCCATGACAGATGACCTTTCAACCTCTGCTTAAAAACCTCCAAGGAAGGGGAGTCCACAACCTCCTGAGAGAAGGGTAGTTGTCGTGGTGTGTAATTTTAGGAGATGACAGAGCAGGAACGAAGGGTGTTTCTGGTGGTGACTAGTGGAAAGAGAAGTATGTATTTAACCTACAATGAATTTTCCTGTGGGAACTTCCTATCTTTCCATGTCAGTGACTTGCCTTGCTTATTTGTCAGACCAGGAACCATCTTTGAAGACGGTGCTTAGCAAGATAATTCATGAGGTATCGCTTTTAAACAACATCCTCAATAAACTGGAGACAGAAGTCAACCATCAGGAGAACCAGCAGAGTCAACTCAAGGTAATCAATGCTTGAAGGGGACTTTTGTTTAAATGGGGGTATCTCTCCAGCGCTGTAAATGAGGATCCGCTGGTGCTTATTTGAGATGTTTCCATGCTTGTGTAAATTAGTTTGCATAAACAAGGTGGGAAAACTTGTCATATATATATATATATATATATATATATATATATATATATATACACACACACACACACACACACACACATATATATAATATTTCTGTTTTACAATTTAAAATACTCATTTAAACATCCATAAAATATCAAAGACTTCCCTTCTTCTTTTTCCATGGTTCGTTTTGCATATCTTAAATCCCTGCATACTTTACATAAACTAAACCATTCAGTTTTTCATTATTACATCCATCACTGTTGAATTTATCTTAACGCTGCCAACGTTTTCAAGTGTACACAATCCCCCCCATATATTCAATAAACATTTTCCAATCTTCTCTAAATGTATGTTCTTCTTGTTCTCTTATTCTATATCTTAGGTCTGCAAGCTGCGCGTATTCCGTCAGCTTAAGTTGCCATTCTTCTTTAGATGGGAACCTCGCTCATTTTCCATTTTGGGGCTAACCAAACATGAGCCGTAGTAGTGGCATACATAAATAACCTTTTTCCCACACATGGGAGTTTCAGTCTGAATTATATCCAACAAGGTGGGGAAACCTGTTGAGCTTTGGGAGGGGAGTATGTAAGGTGATGTGTGAGGAAGAGCAAGGACTCGGTGAACAGGGCTGAGGAGCTGGCTCTTTGAAGGCCCTGGGCACCTGTGGAGAGCAAAAGGCCCAGTAGCTTCAGGGACATGGCTCATGGCAGAGCATCTATCCCAGATTCAAATCCTGGTGTCTCTAGGTGGGCCTAGGATATGTTCCCTGCCTGTAATCTTGGAGAGCTGCTGCTGGTCACTGCAGACCAGGGGTGGGGTGACCATTTTGGCCCGGGGGCCCATATCTTTTTCTGGCCGCACCTCTACAGGCAAACCTTGGCAGGTGGCTGGGCCAGCCCACCTGTCAAAGTCTGTTGCACAAAGCTTCCCAAGCAGAGCCAGTGTGGTGTAGTGGTTAAGAGCGGTAGTCTCGTAATCTGGTGAACCGGGTTCGCTTCCCCACTCCTCCACATGCAGCTACTGGGTGACCTTGGGCTAGTCAGACTTCTTGAAGTCTCTCAGCCTCACTCACCTCACAGAGTGTTTGTTGTGGGGGAGGAAGGGAAAGGAGATTGTTAGCCGCTTTGAGACTCCTTAGGGTAGTGATAAAGTGAGATATCAAATCCAAACTCTTCTTCTTCATCTAACAGCTTGTTTGTTGTGGGTGCTTGGGAACCACCGCACACAGAGCTTTGCTGCTCCCATAGTGCCAAGTGGTTTGCACCCAAACTGCTGCCCAAAAATGAGGGTTTTCTCCTTCATTTTAGCAGCGGTTTCAATGCAAGCCGCTTGGTGCAACTGAAGCAAGGCATGCTTCCACTCCACCCACTGAACTGATTAGCATCTTATTCTACCAGGGAGGCAGGGGATTGTTCGTAAAATGCTGGTGCCTGTTCATTTATTATTATATTTTTATTTTATAACCTGCCCTTCACCTTGAAATCCCAGGGTGGCTTACAGCAATTTAAAACGTTACTTAAAATTCTAGCATCCATTTTTTCATTTCCTTCATAGCCCATCAGATACGATCAGCTTAAATGATCTGATAGGCACTTACCGTGCAAAGAGATGCTGTTGTGTGCTGTCAGTTGTGTTTTCTCTTTGTCTAAGATAAACACGCTTTCTTCACATTTGTTTAAAAATTAAACTGGGGAGGGGGAGGCTGCCCCAGCTAACTGGAAACAGGCACTGGAAAAACGAGCTGTGGTTCACAGGAGATTTAAACGACCAAGTGGCCCATGGATGGCTTTCCAATTTTATTTATTTTTTAGTAAGTGGGTAGTTTCATTTTTTTGTTTTTAAAAGCAGATAGTATTCTCTGTTAATGCGTGCAGCCAACAAAGCCGTTTCTAGGTCTGCATCTGTAGTCTTTAAAACGTTCCTGTGCCAAAGGATGTGCCCAGAAAGCTTTATGACTCTGAAGCGTGGTGCTTTGAACATTAAATATTATTGAGGTAATTTAGGATCTTTTTATCAAATTCGGCCTACCTAATGGTGCACTGAGCACCGTGATGTGAGGGCCAGATATGGCCCTCCACATCCCTTGAAACTCCCCCTCACAGGTTCTGATTTGTACCCCAGGTCCTTTTCCCTGGCTGGAATTCTTGCTTGCCTGGGTGGCGGATAGAGGAGCACGTAGAAACTAGGCTTAAAAGGTAAAATTTGCATGTGTGGCTCCGCCCGCATTTTCCTCTGGCCCCGCCCACTGCTGGCACATGGCCCTCGGAAGGTTGCCCTGATAGGAATGTGGCCCCCCAGGCTGAAAACAGTTTCCCACCTTCAGGTAAAGCTTTCCTCTTTTAGCGCTGGGTACATCAACCCTATGTGTGGGTTGATACATGCAAGCACAGCAGGCAGAAATGATATGAGGATTTATCTTCCCTTGTACGAGCTTTCTTTAGAAAGCTTGCTTTTGAATTTGAGGCTGCAAAAAGAGCTAATCAGAGAGAGAATCCACTCCAGAGCCACTCAAAAGGCATGTGGGAATCATTCAGAGTCTTTCACTTGCAGCGTGGTTAAATTAATTTAAAGCACGAGTTGCAAGGATATTTCACTAAACTTGGCCTTAGCCCTCCACAAGATCGCGTTTCCGAACTGTGCCGTTGGAATACTGATAATCGCGGAAGATTCTTGGTGTTCTCTTAAATCTGAGGCGGTGCATATGAAAGCAGAATACCTCAGGGGACAGCGAACCCTAGATTTTGTATCGCCTGCTATATAAGGATCCGAGAAAGGGGATTTCTCATGAGACTGTGTTTAGACATTTTTCCAGGATGTAGATCCTGACAGGATTATTTGCTGCTCAGTGTTGATGCAGTGGTAACCGAAACGATAGATGTTTGCGAAATCTGTTGCCACGTTGAGGTGTTCCCTTGGAGGGGGGGGGGTTGCTTGAAAGATGCAAAGTTGTTCAATCTGTGGTCCAGCTCGTGTTATACATCTTTTGTTTGTTGAACCCAGCCTCACAGGGATTACATTTCCCCTCTTTTGTTGTTGTTGTTTAGTCATTTAGTCGTGTCCGACTCTTAGTGACCCCTTGGACCAGGGCATGCCAGGCACTCCTGTCTTCCACTGTCTCCCGCAGTTTGGTCAAACGCATGCTGGTAGCTTCGAGAACACTGTCCAACCATCTCATCCTCTGTCGTCCCCTTCTCCTTGTGCCCTCCATCTTTCCCAACATCAGGGTCTTTTCCAGGGAGTCTTCTCTTCTCATGAGGTGGCCAAAGTATTGGAGCCTCAGCTTCAGGATCTGTCCTTCCAGTGAGCACTCAGGGCTGATTTCCTTCAGAATGGATAGGTTTGTTCTTCTTGCAGTCCATGGGACTCTCAAGAGTCTCCTCCAGCACCATAATTCAAAAGCAATGACCTGTATTACCATATTCATTAAAGCTGCGTGACCAGCCTGATATTTTACAAATAAGTTTTAATAACATGCAAAAATATTTAACTCATTAAAAATAATGAGAACCCTAGTACAGTGGTCTCTCGGGTTGCGAACGTGATCCATGCAGGATGCACGTTCGCAACCTGCATCTGTGCACGCACGGGTTACGATTTGGCGCTTATGCGCAAAGCACGATTTAGCACTTCTGTGCGTGTGCGACCGCCGAAACCTGGAAGTAACCCGTTCCGGTACTTCCAGGTTTCGGCGGTCCGCAACCCAAAAAAACGCAACCTGAAGCATCTGTAACCCGAGGTATGACTGTAATTGAGGCTCATGAGGGGTCAGGGTTCCCTTTTCATAAAAGCAAAAAACAAACAAACCTGTTCCTCTTGACATCCATCAAACTCCAGGAGCTCCAGGAAACGATTGAGAGGTACTACAGTGAAGCTCAGCATCTTGAGGAAAACATGCCTATTCACCTGCCCAGAGGAATCCCAAGCAGGTAGGTTTCCTGCCCCCAAGGCAGGTTTTGCAGTTCTTTAAGCAGAGGCCATCAATACTTTGGGATTCAGCCGTGTGCTTTTCCAGCGATGCTCAGAATTAATGGTCGAAGCAGACATTTTATGAGATACTTGACAGCAGCCCCCAAAGCAGTTAGAAACAGGAAAAGAAAAATCCTCCATCACTCAGAGACTAGTTAAGGATTTAGGATGTAACATACATATATGATTAAAATCACAAATTTAGTTAGAGAAGGTAGATGAGGGCAGAACAGCTTTGTTGAAAAGCAGCCTCTCTGTTTTTGTTACATACCGAATAAGTTCTGGGGTAAAATACAGTTTATTGGAAATTTTGTGAAACTGAAGAGATTATAACCCATCTGAAAAACTATTGATGTGTTCAGAAATAAAGTATGATATCAAAATGATGTTCCTATTGGTTGAACTGGTTTTTAATGTGACTTCATGTATTAGTAGTAAAAAGGATTGCAAGATGAATTGCCTCTTACTTTTGCAAATTTTAATATACCCAAACCATCCTAGAGTGTATCTTAGACCTAGGCATGAGAACATGACTTTTCTTCATTCATACAATTTGTGCAGTTCTTTAGCTTCAAAATAGAAATTCTCGAGATGAACACCTGAGGGTAGGGTTTATTATGTTAGGGCATGGACTCAAAGATGCGCAGCCAACTCCCGCAGCCAAGCTGGTGCCAAACGCATTGCTCTGCTTTCCTTTGGACCACACCAGTGAGGCTGGTCTTGCCATCTGGGCAGCCCAGGACCTCCCTATGCACTGCTCTCTGCAGCCACAGCTGACGCTGCGATTCTGTGGGCTTGACTTCACCCACGGAGGTGCACACCATTGTCTTTTGAGACAGATGGATGCCACCCAGCTAGCCACATCTGCAAGGCACCCTGATCTAAACCACGGTTAAGAATCAAATCTTGCTGCGCTAACCATGGTTAAGGGAGGTTTTCCCAGCGCTCTGCCAAGTGCCGCTACGTACCCTCTGGACTCGGTTTGGCAGCCAAAAAACATTATTTTGTTGTGGCATCAGAATCAGATGGGTGCTATCCCTGGTTCAGCTTTCTGTTGTTCATTTTAGTGTTTTCTTAGGCCACTGGCACTTTATTCTGTATTTCCCCCTCCCCATCTCTCTCTCAAAAAAATCACGTCTTGAACAGCTCTGCCATGAAAAATTGGCAGGAGGAAAGGAAGCAGCACATTTTGTTGTATCTGCCGCCTCCGTCAGGGTAGATGAACTATAACTTATCTGAAGTGGCAAAGAGAGGGAAGTTGTCAAGGGTGCTTGTAGCTTCCTGCGTGATAAGCTTTCTGTTGTTGGCTCTGCCTCCCACTTCCTCTGTAGCACCCAGGGCATCACGGTGAAGGATGAAGCACAGTGCAAAGATGCTGAGGCTGCCGGTGGGAAGAAGCCAGTGAAAGAGCCCAGATGCATCAAACAAGCAGCCTTGTTAACGGAAGAGGAGTTTGAAAGCATTCCTGCGTAAGTAAGCAGTCCCCACCCTTAACCGGACAAAAGAGTAGCCAAGTTTTACCTGCATTTACCTGTCAGAGAAAAAGGGACGTGGGTGGCGCTGTGGTCTAAACCACAGGTCGGCGGTTTGAATCACCATGATGGGGTGAGCTCCCATTGCTGGTCCCTGCTCCTGCCAACCTAGCAGTTTGAAAGCACGTCAAAGTGCAAGTAGATAAATAGGTACCACTCCAGCGGGAAGGTAAACGGCGTTTCCGTGCGCTGCTCTGGTTCGCCAGAAGCGGCTTAGTCATGCTGGCCACATGACCCGGAAGCTGTACGCCGGTTCCCTCGGCCAGTAAAGCAAGATGAGCGCCGCAACCCCAGAGTCGGCCATGACTTGACCTAACGGTCAGGGGTCCCTTTACCTTTTTTACCTGCCAGAGAGTAGTGGTTGCCAGCCTCTTTAGGCCTGTGGGCACATTTGGGTTTCTGAAGGAGCACCCCATCTGCTGGTCATCCCCCCCCGCCCCCCGTTCCTTGGATCTGTCCATCTCCCAAGAGACAGAAAATCTGTGCCCACAGATGTTGCTTTTCCATGGGATCTGGGTAAAGCACGGAGCGTCACTCTTCCAGCGTCTTCCTTTAACACTACAGGGGAGAAAATCTTAACTACCCTTGCCTCCTCAGGACAAAGGGAGCAGTGATCCATAAGTGGATTACAAGTGTGTGTAAAAAAAATAATTAAAAAAAAATTGGAAAATCACAAATTCGTTGCATATATGTATGGTGCTGATATCACCAGTGTCGCAGGTTTGATCCCTGTATGGCACAGCTGCATATTCCTGCTTTGGAGGGGGTTTGGACTCCTTTTTGTGTTTGGCTTTCTGTCTGGTGGCTCTTGGTTTTGTAACCTGAGCAGATGCTTCTCACAAAAGCGGTCCTAATTTATTCCGCATCTTCTTTGGCGTAATACCGGGCTGAATGAAAAGTTAATGCAGTCGAGCTCCGGGGTCCTCTGTGTAATGAACAAATTGCACGGCGGCGTCTGACTCATCAGGACGAGGCAATTAATGAGACAGAATTAATCACGGCTCCCGTTTCAGAAAGCGCTGCTCCTTCTGCCTCCCCCCCCCAACCCCACTGCCCTCTTCTCTTTTCATTTAGCAGGAATCATCCTCGTTTCTTCTGGTGCAGCCAAGTCAAGGACAGTGGAGCGTTAGATGCCTTCATGTCTCCCACGATTGCTGTTGCAATTTGCCGTGGCACATTCCAGACTCCCTGGCATTCCCTTCCCTCCATTTCTGTCTGTCTTTGGGGGGTGGGGTTCAGGTAGCCCCCCATCACTGCACATTCAAAGAACACATGAGGGGGGGTTGAAAGGCCGCTTGAGTCCACCACTGTTGACACCCTCTCACCATTTATGGGTATGAGAAGTGGGTCTGCAGACTTATGTATTATTGGATTCCTTACCCATGCTTTACCATGTGCTCCCAGGGCAGCTTACAACAATATAAAAAAGACAGTATTAAAACCAATTAAATACAATTACAATCTGAAAAATTAGGGAGGGTTTGTGTGTGTGTGTGTGTGTGTCTATCTATCTATATTGTCCTTGTTGATGGTATGTTGTCATCTGGCTGTCTCGGGAGATAATGGAAGAGTGTGTCTTTGGGGGTGAAGTCAACCTGGAGAGTTACAGCGCCTGCTGTGGCTGTAGAGACCAATATAGGAGAGACATGTTTTGTTGCAGCTGGGGCAGGTGAAGGCTTCCAGTTTTGCTGCTGAAGGTGCGCATGGAGTTTCTTCTTTCTGTACTCTTACCGGCGGTCATTCTTCCACTGTTCACTGCTGTGGATGCATGACCTGGGTAAAAGCGTAAGATTGGCACAGCCCCTCCATTGGATGATTTTTTAAAAAGTTATTTTTATCTACCTATTTATTTAAATTTCTATATAGCCCTTTATTCAAGGATCACAGGGCGGTGTATAAAAAGCAAAAGAATGCACACATAGTAACAAATGAAAACAATACACCCACCCCCCCAATTTAAAAGGCCATAGATGTTTAATTAGCCAAAGGCCTGGGAGAATAGGAGTGTTTTTGTCTAAAGATATGTAAGGAAGGCGCCAGGCAAGCCTCACTAGGGAGAGCATTTCACAAGCAAGGAGGCAACGCAGAAAAGGCCCTTTCCTGTGTTACCACCTCCCAGATCTCACATGGAGAAGACACACAAAGAAGGGCCTTGGTTGATGGTAGTAGGGTCCAGCTCAGTTTATATGGGGAGAGGCGGTCCTCGAGGTATTGCAGTCCTGAGCGGCTTAAGGCTTTATAGGTCAAAACCAGCACTTTGAACTGGGCCCGGAAACTAATTGGCAGCCAGTGCAATTGGCGTTTTATGCTGAAACCATCTTGCCTCGATAAGCAACCTGGCTGCTGAATTCTGCACCAGCTGAAGTTTCCAAACCGTCTTCAGAGGCAGCCCATGTATAATGTGTTGCAGTAATCTAACCTTGGCTTACCCCTATGGAGTAACATTTCTATGGCCCTTCTTGAAGTTAGCCGTGTTCAGACTGCCTTCTAAGCCCAGGGGTGCACGGAAGCCTCAGTGACAATTCACTGTTTTGAGGAGAAGTGAACAACTGAGCCAAGGTGTCCTATTTGTGTATGTTTCTTTGAGGCGAGGGATGGGGAAGATTAGTCTTGAAGAACAATTTGTTTTCCCTACCCAAAGGCCTAAATTGGGAAGAATCCCCTTTCTGCCGCCCAAATTTTTCCCACCCTCTTCATATTTCTAATGTGCTTCCAAGAGAGAGAATCTGCGTTTGTTCTTTAGTTGTATGACTTTCTCTTTCGAGCAGGTATGATGAGGCAAATCTCGCTCGCCTGTCCTGTGTACAATTCCCTGGAGAGCAATATTGTGTTTACAGGACTCTGTTAAAACTTGGACCTTATTAGCTATTTAACACACATCCATTTTTACTGTCCTTATCATGTGTTAGACCTCCATGTTTCCAGCCGGAATCAAGAGCTGAATATACCCTGCTAAACTGCACAGAATATATCACCTCCCTCTTAAAGTTTTTAGCACCTGCTTTTTCAATAATCTCTATTCTTCATCTTCTCCCACTTCTTTTAGCCTGAGTACATGTGTGCTTTCTCTTCCTTGCCGTAGGCATGTCTTGGTCTCTCGCGTTCTCATATATCAACTCACAAGTTTTTGCCCTTTCTCCCCTCTCTGCGTGGGTGGGTGGAGCTTTTCTCATCTATTAGCTTGCTGTCCTTCTACTTTAGCAATGCTTGAAATGTGAGGTTCCCCCGTCTTGAGTTTTCTCCAGGCAGCTGCCGGCCAATCTCCTTTTGATTAAATGCCAGATCTGGGAAAGGAGAAGATGGGGAAGGGAGAGCAAAATAATACGGAGATCTGGTTTAATATACTTTGCACGTGACTTGATTCTATGGGACACAGGAATGGACTTTCTGGTTCCTAGGGCAAGCTGCTTTCTGTGTTACTGTGCCTTTGCCTATAGATGGACGCACGCGCACCTGTGTATGCAACTTGGACACCTGTTTTCGGGGGTCTTGAGCATGGGGCAAGTCACACTTAGACCAGTGACCAGTCAAGAGATCAAGGCCCCGTCTGCACTATCCCTTTAGAACCACTTCAAACACTATTAAAAGAGTAAAGGATCCCTTGACCATTATGTCCAGTCGTGACCGATTGTGGGTTGCGGTGCTCATCTCGCTTTATTGGCTGAGGGAGCCGGCGTACAGCTTCCGGGTCATGTGGCCAGCATGACTAAGCCGCTTCTGGCGAAGCAGAGCAGCACACGGAAACGCCGTTTACCTTCCCGCCGGAGTGGTACCTATTTATCTACTTGCACTTTGACGTCCTTTCGAACTGCTAGGTTGGCAGGAGCAGGGACCAAGCAATGGGAGCTCACTCCGTCGCGGGGATTCGAACTGCCAACCTTCTGATCGGCAAGTCCTAGGCTCTGTGGTTTAACCCACAGTGCCACCCGTGTCCCTTCAAACACTATTGGCTTCCCTCAAAGAATCCTGGGGACTGTATTTTTTAAAATGTGCTGAGAGCTCGGCTTCCAGGACCTCCAGGTAGGTCTGGGAGAGACCCCTGCACAAAACCCTGGAGATCTGCTGCCAATCAGTGTAGACAGAACTAGGCTAGGTGGACCCATTCGTCTCACTTGGGCAGCTTCCAGCGTTCCTGAAACTGAATCACACACAGAGACTTAACCTTGGAAATGCTTGTAGGATCAGCTGCCTTGGGGAGGGGTGTACCTGGAAGAAGAGGGGGAAAGTACCCAGGTGTGGGGCAGATCTAAGCTCATGCATACTTCTTGGGTCAAAGCTTTTCTACTGCAGGTATGCGGTCTGCTAATACAGAGCTGTGTGCACATATCTTTTGGAGGGTCTTAGAGGGGTCTAACAATGACCATAGAGTTTTAAGCAATGTTTCCCCCCCCTTCAGCATGCTAAAATATTACTAAATGCTGCTTCAGGCAGAGGCGCAACCTTCCCTTTGCCACTGATCCAGGTGAAGCATCCTTGCAGCTTCACACCTGACCATTGCTGCAGGTGTGCGTGCTTGCATTTTTGATAACGCGGGTTTCGTACGCGAACGTGTGATCTCCCGTTACGGATTTGCCCCGAGAAAGGTGGGGGCTCTGCAAGTTTGGGCATAATTCTGCATGTTTCGTGATGTGCCAGGTAAGGGGAACCTGTTTCCTTCCTTCCCCACAGGTACATGCGAGGCCGCCTGACGTACAACCAAGTCAATGCAGTCCTTCAGGAAATCAACAAGGCCGTGGTTAGCAAGTACAAGATCATGCACCAGTCCCCTAAGACAATGTCCGGCGCTGTGAGGAACCTCTTCTTCAGATTCAAGGAAGAAGAAACGAAGAATACAAAAGGTAGCTTTCACTCCTGAGTACGTGTTTGAACCATAGGTTCAATCCCTGGCCTCCAGGTAGGTCTGGGAAAAGGACTCTTGCCTGAAACCCTCAAGAGCTGCTGCCAGTCAGTGTAGAGGTGGGCTGACAGGTCAATCTTGGCTCATTGGGGGCCTGTAAGACCATTTCTTCCCTAAACCACACCCTCCTGTTGATCAAGTGATGGGTGACATCAGCAATGGAATGGGGTTCATTCCTGCCAGATACTGCTTTGCCAGCAAGCTGCCTGTGATAACTGCTGGTGAAGCAAACCCAGGATTGCCCCCTTCGCTCATCAGCTAGTGAGTGGAGCGTTCAGTTCCGCTGCCACCTGTCAGTCAACCTGATGTCATGTCAGATGATTGACAGCTGGGTGGGCCCATCCTGCTTGTATGCATAAAGGTAAAGGGACCCCTGACCGTTGGGTCCAGTCGTGGCCGACTCTGAGGTTGTGGTGCTCATCTCACTTTACTGGCCGAGGGAGCCGACGTACAGCTTCTGGGTCATGTGGCCAGCATGACTAAGTCGCTTCTGGCGAACCAGAGCAGCACACGGAAACGCCATTTACCTTCCTGCCGGAGTGGTACCTATTTATCTACTTGCACTTTGACGTGCTTTTGAACTGCTAGGTTGGCAGGAGCTGGGACCGAGAAACGGGAGCTCACCCCATTGCGGGGATTCGAACTGCCGACCTTCTGATCGGCAAGCCCTAGGCTCTGTGGTTTAACCCACAGCGCCACCCGCGTTGCATACTTGTATGCGTATTGGGGGCCAAATATCTATCGCTGGTAGTTCTTCCCCACCCCTTCCAAATCGAATGTTTGTTTTTAATTTTTGTAAACTGCTCTGAGATTCATTTGGATTGGCAAGGGGTATAAAATAAACTCGCACCTTGGAAGTCGGACGGAATCCGTTCCAGAAGTCCGTTCGACTTCCAAAATGGTCGAAAACCAAAGTTCGGCTTCTGATTGGCTGCAGGAAGCTCCTGCAGCCAATCGGAAGCTGCGGAAGCAACCATCGGATGTTCGGCTTCCAAAAATAGTTTGCAAACCGGAACAGTGACTTCCGGGTTTGCAATGTTCGGGAACTAAGCTGTTTGACTTCCAAAGCACGACTGTACATATTTAAAAGATTTCTTACTCACCCTCCATCTCTGGGTGGGAACAACTATACTTTTTTTTTTTAAAAAAAAGTAAAACCAATCCAAGGAAAAGTGGGACTGGAATTAAACGAAGGGTAAAGTACTCTGTACCAGGATGAAACACGAATTGTGTCTCTGCAGGCCAGTTCTTCATCGTGGAGGCCGATGTGGAAGAATTTACACAGCTCAAGGCAGACAAGCGTTTCCACAGCATCCTGACCATTTTGCGACATTGCCAGAGGCTGCGAGAGATCCGTGGCTCGCGCCTGGTCCGTTACGCCATCTGCTGAGGTGCTGTCAGGGTGTTTGAGGCTTGTGGTGGGAGGTTCCCCTCGCCCCACTCCTCAGGACTGTGCCGCAAAACAGAATCCTTCCTTCGTTTAGAGTTTTACATGGCAAGGCTGTTTCTTTACTCCTCTTTCTTCCTACCCTCATTCATTATTGTTGGAGAAGGTGGGTTTTGTTTGCATCTGTAAAATACAGTATCTGTAATTTTCATCTTTTCTGCAAAGGTATGAAGCTATACATCCCGCAAGTGCAATTCCCACCCATCCGGCTTTGGGGTTTCTACCTGTTGAGCTTGATCTGCATTTTATAGCAAAGCAGAGGGCGAATGGGTTGAACCAAGAACTGCCTCTAAACCATTGTTCAAAGCCTGAGATTTGGAATTGCTGAAATGCCAATAAAGAGTTGAAAGCACCGGGTGAGTCGGAATCCTTGCTACCTTTCTTCGTCTCTGGGATGCTTCCTCAATTAAAAAGGTAAAGGGACCTCTGACCATTAGGTCCAGTTGTGGCTGACTCTGGGGTTGCGGCGCTCATCTTGCTTTATTGGCCGAGTGAGCCGGCGTACAGCTTCTGGGTCATATGGCCAGCATGACTAAGCCGCTTCTGGCGAACCAGAGCAGCACACGGAAACGCCGTTTACCTTCCCGCCAGAGCGGTACCTATTTATCTACTTGCACTTTGATGTGCTTTTGAACTGCTAGGTTGGCAGGAGCAGGGACCGAGCAGCGGGAGCTCACCCCGTCGCGGGGATTCGAACTGCCGACCTTCTGATTGGCAAGCCCTAGGCTCTGTGGTTTAGACCACAGCGCCACCCGCCTCCCATGCTTCCTCAATTACTACATCCCAAAGTGTAGGTGAACAAGCCATTGTTGGAGGTGCGCCGCTGACCACAAAGCCTGGGTGTATATTTTTGAGTAGAGTGTAATGGGAGGTCCCTCTGGCGGAGTCCCGTATTGAAGCATCGGCACACATCCGAAAGACACGGGCACGCTATAAGGAGAGTCAGCGAAAGCAGAGTTGTGTAGGAATTGTAGCATCAAGTATTTTATTATTTACAACAAAAGAAACAAATAAAACATGGCATTCTGTGTGAGCTCTTTCTCAAACACATCCTCTCTAGCTTTCTAGCTGGACAGAGAACAAAGAGCGGAGTTTTATCAGCTTGACTTTCGCTTACACACACAATCTTAAGAAATGAAAACATCCGATCGTGTGACCCTCTGCTATAGTGGCAGTGAAAATACTGACAGAGTGAACAGTAGGGCGTTCTGTTTATCAGGGGATCCCACCAGGCCAGAGCTCACCTGGGTTTGTTGTTGTTTAGTTGTTTAGTCGTGTCCGACTCTTCGTGACCCCATGGACCAGAGCATGCCAGGCACTCCTGTCTTCCACTGCCTCCCGCAGTTTGGTCAAACTCATGCTGGTAGCTTCGAGAACACTGTCCAACCATCTCATCCTCTGTTGTCTCCTTCTCCTTGTGCCTTCCATCTTTCCCAACATCAGGGTCTTTTCCAGGGAGTCTTCTTATGAGGTGGCCAAAGTGTTGGAGCCTCAGCTTCATGATCTGTCCTTCCAGTGAGCACTTCAGAATGGAGAGGTTTGATCTTCTTGCAGCCCTTGGGACTCTCAAGAGTCTCCTCCAGCACCATAAATCAAAAGCATCAATTCTTCGGCGATCAGCCTTCTTTATGGTCCAGCTCTCACTTCCATACATCACGACTGGAAAAAACATAGCTTTAACTATATGGACCTTTGTTGGCAAGGTGATGTCTCTGCTTTTTTGGTTGCTGCCATTCAGGAAAGATAGCAACAAAACCGTAACCAGACCAAAAGAGGGCAGTAAGAGGCATGGAAATGTCCTATGAGCAAACGTTGGAGCTGCGTAGGCCTATGTTCATAAGTTCCACTTTTTATTCACGCCTCCATGATACTGCCTCTCATTTCCACCAAATCTCCCCTCAAAGTCCATCTTTGATGGGGCCACGATGATCATCTAGTCTCACCTGCAATGCAGGAATCTTTTGCCCAACGTGGGGCTTGAACCCACAGCCCTGGGATTAAGAGTCCCATGCTCTACTGACTGAGCTATCATCAGGCAGTCGGACTTGTAACACTGCAAAGGTGCAAAAACACAAAGCACCTTGCCTGTATTTTTCTTACATGTAGAGATCATAAGACAACTGCCTAAATCTCATTAGCATTGGTGTGGCTTTGCTCTATTTAATTCCTATTGATTTCCGTGGTGTTCTCAACCTGCTTAACACACTCTGGATTGCACCCAAATCTGAAGTCATTAAAAGTTTGCAAGAGTTCCAAGACACGTGTTTGAGAATATATGTTATCTTTAGCTATTTAAACCCCAGCTTATCCTCCTTAAGTATATCTCTGCCCAAGGTTTGTCCTGCAACCCGTTGGAATGTCAGGTGGATTAACAATATTGCATCCTTAGCATTTTGTTTTCGAGGGAATAAACTTGGTTGATCAGGATTTGGCCAGCTTGGTGGCTTGTTTTTCACTAATCCTTGCTTAAATGGTTATGGAATGCAGGTGGTTTTTATAATGGGTGTGCCCGTTATAACGGTTTGGATGAATTAACCAGTGTTTAAATTATATGAAAGGTATTATTTTCAGGCCGATCAAAATTCTCTATTCTTAAACCTTTTGTGGTGTCTGTTCTTCAGGAAACTGAGGAATACTATACTGTCAGGTCATTGGGTCCATGCAAAGCAGGTGCACTGTGTGGTGATCACACAGGGCCCTCGGACGTTTGACGGTCTATTGACCCTGTGCCACCACTGTGATTGCTTTCTTCGCTGCCACCACCCCGCTTCTCACGGGGACACACTGAGTCCAGACAGTTGTTAACATTAACAAATAATCAAGTTTATTTTTAAATGCAGGAACAAGCGTATGGTTTCAGTTTATTTTTCTCTTGTCAGTTTCTTAATCTTAGTTCCTAACAACTTCAAACTGATTATTCCAACTATCTGTCTGACTCAACCTAACAATTCCTCTCACTCTCTCACAATACAACTCTACCAACCCACACCTAATCCTCCCTCTTCCTTCTCCAACTCCCCAAACCTCAACTCTCAACTCCCAAACCTCAACTGACTTTCAAAACCTCCCACCCTAACTTTTACTCCCCCCCCCTTGCATTCTCACTGGCCCATCACATCACACTCATTTTAACCCTTTCCTTATGACCCACCTAGGAGGCAAACGCCACACTCTGCCACCCCAAAAATGGTAAGATTGCCAATTTGAGGATAAATTTCCCACATTGTGATTACCACACTCCCCCCCCCCCCACAAGTGTAGTCTCCTTCAACTTTAATTCAGGTTCTAAAAGCATTTCTCGGGTCTCATAGTTTGATTATGTTATGACAGTCTTCTAGCTGACAACCAGCTAGGTAGCTATGCTTGACCACGAATTCAGTGCAGGTTGAGGGCGCAGAAGGGGGACAGGTTGTTCCTTCCATCCTCCACCAGTCCACTTGCTTTCTGTGCTAGCTACAGAGGAAGGAAAGTCTCCATGGATATCACAAGAAGGCCACAGAAAGTAGCTCCTTCGCTGGACCGCTTGTTGGAAGACCCTTTTTTAAAATTGACAACTTGTGTGGAGGGGCTTATCCTCCTTCACAGCCACCACAGAAACGCAGGCTTCTATTCAGGATAGTTTTTTTTTAAAAAAAACCACAAAAAATCTATTTTTGCAGGCTAGTGGTTTTGTTTGCAAGGCGTCACAGAATTTGGTCAAGGACGGTAGCTCCCTGGTGGTGCATGTGCCAGTCCATGTAGAGCAAAGTGGAGAACCTCTTCCAGCCAGAAGGCCGTATTCTCCTTTGGGAATCCTGGCCAGGGGAAAAGTGGGCAGAACAATGAAGAAGAAGAAGAAGAATTCATTCCTCGCCCATCTGGCTGGGTTTCCCTAGCCACTCTGGACAGCTCCCAACCGAATATTAAAAACATGATACAGTGGTGTCCCGCAAGACGAATGCCTCGCAAGACGGAAAACTCGCTAGACGAAAGGGTTTTGCATTTTTTGAGCTGCTTCGCAAGACGAATTTCCCTATGGGCTTGCTTCGCAAGACGAAAAACGAAAACGTCTTGCAAGTTTGTTTCCTTTTCTTAACACCGTTAATACAGTTGTGACTTGACTTCGAGGAGCAACTCATAGAACGCGGTGTGGTAGCCTTTTTTGAGGCTTTTGAAGACTTTGGTGATTTTTGAAGCTTTTCCAAAACTTCTTTTAAACTTTTAAAACTTTTTTGGGGGTTTTTGGATTTTGGGTTGGGGTGTTTGGAATTCAAGGACTTGGTGCTGGGGAGGGGTTTGCAAGAATCTGGAAGCTTGTGTGGTTTTTTTCTGCATTTATATGATTTTCTGTGACCATTGGGCCACTCTGCTTTTTTTTTAAAAAAAATCTGGATTTGAATTTCTGTGTGGTGGGTGGCTGGGGGAACAGTTGAGGAGGGGGTTCTTCAGCAAGAAGCAAAGAGTGGAAGAGGAACCTTCTTCGAGTTGTACCCAGAGTCTTAGAAAATGTACTGTACACTTTGTTGATTTTTAAATGTTTTTCTGTCATGTTTAGAAACTTAATTTATTGTTCCTTCAATTTTTGAAATGCTCTTTACAGTATGTGTGACTTTAAAGAGCACTTAATAAACTCTTGTTGTACCAAATTTGGCTTTGTTTGGACTTTTTGACCATAGGAACGCATTAATTGGATTTCAATGCATTCCTATGGGATTTCGTGCTTCGCAAGACGAAAAATTCGCTAGACGAAAAAACTCGCGGAATGAATTAATTTCGTCTTGCGAGGCACCACTGTACAACATTAAGCATTAAAAACTTCCCTAAACAGGGCTGCTTTGACATGTCTTCTAAAAGTCAGATAGTTGTTTATTTCCTTGAGATCTGAAGGGAGGTTGCTCTACAGGGAGGGCACCACTACCGAGAAGGCCCTCTGCTTGGTTCCCTGTAACCTCACTTCTCACAGTGAGGGAACTGCCAGAAGGCCCTCGGCGCTGGACCTCAGTGTCTGGGCTGGATGATGGGGGTGGAGGCGCTCCTTCAGGTATACTGGGCTGAGGCCGCTTAGGGCTTTAAAGGTCAGCACCAACACTTTGAATTGTGCTTGGAAAGATACTGGGAGCCAATGTAGGTCTTTCAGGACTGGTGTTATGTGGTTATGTAAAAGTTACCTTTGCACACTAGGCTGGATTCTACATATGCACACAGACCTCTCTGTTTTCCATTGAGGTGAGCAAGAGGCATTATGGGAGGTCAAGGACAGCCAGGCAGAAACGCCTAAGGAGCATGTGATGCAGAACCAATGAGGGAAGTGGACTGAGAGAGGAAGGGCGGCCCCAGAGAGCCCCCAGTGCCCCACATTTGGTGTAGACGATTCATAGATATAGATTCTACAGGCTTCCTCAACCTCGGCCCTC